GCGGGGCTCCGGCTGAGGCGGCGTTCACCAGCGCGCCCAAGATATGGGGTTTGTTTTTCGCGCCGCGGGTGGCGAGCCGCCGTCCCCGTGTAGTCGCAGCCGAACGCCCCCTGCGAGGTCTTGCCACCCCCTCCACCTTTCGCCTGGAGCACCTCTTGGGCCGTGCCCCCACCCTCCTGGAGCGGCAGGGGCGACAGAGCCTGGTCGCCCTCTTAGGGGACTCGCTGGAGGGACGAGCCGCGCGCGTACACGAGGTCCTCGCCGCACGTTTGGCCATTCCTCCGTGCGGGGGGGGGGGGGGGTGAGCTGCCGGAGCACTGGCGCAATGCCGGCGCGGGCGGCAGGCGGGAGCAGTGGGTAAGGGGTGCGCGGGGTGGTGGTGGGGTTGGCGGGGGTGGCGGTCGCGCCAGTAGCCGCAGCGCGAGTCGACAATGACGCCGACCGAGCCGAAGTGCGGCCCATCCTTGAGCACACACACCTCGGAGCCGATGTGCAAGTCACGCCGCCTCCGCCGCCCGGCTACCGATCCCGCACCTGGCGCCGGTGCATGGAGGCATGAGACTGGGCGGTGTCGCGCCGTGCTTTCGAGGACTGCGACTACGATGCGGCTTGCCTCGAGTGCCAGTCGGACTGGGGATCCGTGTGTTCGTCATATCTAGGACCCCGCCACCCGACCGCGGGAGAGGAGCCCCCGCCGGCAGCACCGAGCCGCCCCACCGCCCTCCCGCCTCGCCGCCGCCGTCGCTTCCGGTCTCCGACTCGTCGCCGCCCTGGATAGAGAGCGCCACCTCGGGCAGCGCGAACGGCGGCGGGGCCGCGTCGTGCACAGCCACCTCCGTCGACCCTCCGGCCCCGGCCTGCCACGGCTCAACCTCGGCGCGGCCTCGCCCGGCGCTCCTCCTTTGCAGCAGCGGACACGGGCTGGTCAGATGCCAGCGACGGGGAGCGCCGCGGTCGTGCGGCAGCAGTCGCGAGGGTAGGGTGTGTGGTGGTGGTGGGTGGGTGGGCGGGGGCGTGGGGAGGAGGGGGGAAGTGTCGCGCACCCCACCGCTGGCGACCGGCCCGGCATCCGGCCGAGGGGGGAGCTCTTCGCGCTGGAGAGCTGAGGCCGCGCGAGACCGCCGCCGCCGCCCGCCACCGCGCCGCCTTCTGGAGTGAGGCGGCGCCGCTTCTGCCCGTGCTCAAAGTCATAGTCATGGTTCTTGACGCGGCGCGCGCGCCCACCCGCCGGTGCGGGCAGCTGGAAAGGGGGAGGAGGGGGAAGGGGGGGGGGGGGGGGTAAGCGATGCCCAGCGAGGCTCCAGCTGGTGTGGGTGTGGTGCGGTCTGGCGGGGGGCTTGGGAAACGGGACGGCTCTCGGCGGCGTCACCTGGTGGAGCCCCTTGTGGTTATTTGGCAGGATGCAACCAAACGTGCCGCACAGCTTGTTTCCGAGCGAGTCGGTGAGCTGCATGGGCTGCACCTCCTCCTCCCCTACTCCGCGGAACGAAAGGGTTAGACCGTTGAACCGGTGGCGCTCTCAAGCGGGCGGCGGGAGGTGTCATTCAGGGGGCGAAGCTGGCCATGCGGGAGGCGGGAGGGGCCATGCAAGGTCGAGGGACATCCGAATGGCCGGCGAGGCGCCTTGCAGCGGCGGCAGCGGGTAGTCCTCGGAGCCGACCGCGACGGCGTCGCTGTCGTCCGAATTGTTGTGCTCCTCAACCTGCGCTTCGTAAAGACCAGGGGGGGCGGGGGAGGGCGTGAGGGACCCGCTACAGCTGTGGTCCCGCTACAGCTGTGGTCCAGACTCGTGACACTGCGCCTCGTATCGGCTCGGCGAGAGCAAACGGGCAGAGTGAGATCGCGTGCGTCTGTTCGGGAGGGGGCGTGCGTCTGTTCGGGAGGGGGGGGGGGGGGGGAACTTTCCACCACGAACGCCGCCCACGAAACGTGCGAGGCATGGGCAGCCTGTGCGGCATCTAGGCTCCCCCGAACCGGGACCCAAAACGTCTCGATGAGGCGCGCGTCGGGCACCTGGGGTGGGGGGGTGGGAGGGGGGTTGAAAGGGTGGGGGGTGGGGGGGGGGGGAAGAGGAAAAGTGACCACGGGAGGGGAAAATAAGAGGGGCGTTGTATGTCCGCAGGGACATCCCGGGCAATATGGGCCCCAAAAAACGTCCCGGCGGCGCTTCCCCCCTGTGTTCCGCCCTGGCGATGGCAATGGAAGCTTCTCGGAAACGTCCCCTGGGTGGGCGCCACCCACTCCGCCTGCGAACGGCCCTGCCCGGCGGCCTGGACGAGGTACTGCTGCCGTCCGGCCGCCACCCGCTCCGCGAGCACGCGCGGCTCCCTCGCCACCGGCTCCTGCTCCGCAATCGGACAGACGGGGCTGCTCAGGCGGTCGATGTCTTCGTCCGAAGTGGCGGCGACCGAGCGACCGGCCTCCTGCTGCCACCGGTCTCGTCCTTTGCTGAGCGTGCCCACGCCGCCGCCGCGCCCTCCGCCGGCGGGCTTGCAAAGGCCCGGGTGGCGGTACCGCCGCACGCAGTCGGGCCGCTTTTGGCAAAGGACGGGCTCCGGCGTCGCCGGCGCGTGCGCTGCCACCGGCGCCGCCTCCTCCGCCTCCGTCAGATGCACCTTGCGGCACCAGCGCTCGTGGTTCGACTTTGCGCCCGCGTTGGTGAGCACCCGGCCGCAGTAGACGCACTGCCAGAGCGCGCGGCCGCTCTCATCCGGAGCGACTGCAGCCTCCGCCTCCGCCGCCTCTGAAGGTTGCCCCGCTTCGGGCGCCGGCTGGTGCTGCTGCTGCTTGCACCAGCGCTCGTGGTTCGACTTTGCGCCCGCGTTGCACAGCATGCGGCCGCAGTAGACGCACTGCCAGCGGCTCGCCGCGTCTTCTTCAGGGGCGTCCGGCTCTGGCAACGGCGAGCTGCGCGCTGCCGCCGCCTCCGCCGCCTCTTCCTCGAGCGCCTGCTTCTCCTGCTGCTGCTTGCACCAGCGCTCGTGGTTCGACTTTGCGCCCGCGTTGCACAGCGCGCGGCCGCAGTAGACGCACTGCCAGCGGCTCTCCGCGTCCTCAGGGGCGTCCGGCTCTGGCGGCGGAGTGCTGGGAGCGGACGCCAGCTCCAGCGCCATCCTTTCCTGCTGCTGCTTGCACCAGCGCTCGTGGTTCGACTTTGCGCCCGCGTTGATGAGCATGCGGCCGCAGTAGACGCACTGCCACTGCGGCCGATCGCCGCTGCTGCCAGCCGGAGCGCCGCCGCCGCCGGACGGGTCCTGGGCAGGCTGCGGCAGGCTGCTCTCGATAGGGCCTTCCCCCGCGCACCGGTCGCCTCCGCAGAGCCAGACGGCGGGCTTGCTCCCGGGGATGCTGCGCGAGCGCTCGACGCCGCACCCCACACATGTGATGATCTTGCGCCCGTTGGCCTCGTGGATGGGTGGCGGCGGCATGCCGCTGCGGCTGCTGACCGGCGACTTGTCCCGCGATGCGTTGCCACTTCCGGCGGGCGACGCGCCGACCTGCGACTTGGCCCCCGCCTGCGGCTCCACGGAGTAGATCTCGGCAGGCCGCTGGCGCTGGCGGACGCTGTTAACGGCGGGTATGAGGTGGAGGCCCTTGTGGTTGTTTGGGAGCGTGCAGCCGAACGTACCGCACAAGACCTGGACGCGGTCGGGCCCTCGGCTGCTGACGGCGTCGGCGGGCGCGAGCCGACCGGCGTCAACGGCCGCGGGCTCGACGCTGCCGGCGGCGGCGGCGGGCGCGGGCTCGCCGCCGTCGGGCGGTGCTGCTGCGTTGTGCTCCATAAAAGGGGGCCTGCAGGTCGCACCCCACAAGGATGGGGATGGAGGAGCGGGTGAGCCGCTGCTATTCATTGTTTAAGCGGCTTTTCTTTTTTACAGAATTTTGCATTGGTTCGCACTGACACTAACACTTGTTTAGAAGTTGTTTTGGAGGATGACAGCACAAAGGGTCACCGTCGTCTGACACGCATCGGTCATTATTCAGAGAGATTTTTAGAATTTTACAACAATTTTTTTCTCCTCTCTCTCACAATTTGTTTGGTATTGCTAAAAATCTCTCTCACAATTTTTAGAAGCCAACAAGAAATGTGGCACACACAGTGATTTGGGCTCGGCAGCTGGTCGACTACCAGCCGAAGCCGGAGTCGGAACCGTAGCCGAGATGGTCGTCGAGGAGTAGAGCCGGAGCCGCATGAGTCTTGGTCGGAGGAGGAGTCGTCGGAGGAGCGGTCGGACGCCTCGCGCTTGTCGCGCCTGATGCGCTCTGCGAGGGGGCCGGGGTCGTAGTTGTCGTGCTCGAGCGTTGGGTAGACAGCGCGCCTTGCGACCTTGTCGGCCGTGCTGCCATCCCGATCCGCATCCCACTTGCACTTAGCTCTTAGGGGACCCTAGAGGGGACCCCTAGGGTTCTGAGGGCCGGGGTTTTTTAAGACCTTTTAAGAAACTTTGGGGGCTTAACTTGCCATTTAAGAGATTGCAGGCACGGGGGGTCCCTCTTTTAAGACCGTTTAAGAAAATCGGCCTCGCCGGCATGCGTCTCGCTGGGTTAATTGAGGGTTCCACGCCGTTTTCTCCAATTGTCCAATACTGCCGTTATTGGGCACAAACCCGCCTCTGAAGACACACCTGTAAGTCTGGTGCACTGGCAGGAGCCATACTCGCATAGGGGACGCGTGCTAGCTGACTGTAGGTGTAGCCAGCTTCCCGGCCTACGGCGTCTACCGCGTACCGGGACGCGGGAGCGAGCCTCTCCCGGACCATCGACCTCGGGAGCTCTCCCGCACCGTTTAAGCGTTTAAGACCGTTTAAAAATCGGCGGCCCAGGCAGCCTTAAAATGGGCCTAGGCCCGTTTTAAGCCGTTTAAGCCGCAGGCGCCCCAGCGAGGGCCCACCCTTTTAAGCCTAGGGGTCCCCCCATAAGCACTTGCACTTCCCAGTACTCTTCTTCTTGTTCATGCGCATCGCTACCCGATCGCGCCGCTCTCTCCGCCTGATGGCGCCGAGGCGCGCCCGGACGGAAGACTGGAGCGCGCTGTCCGACTGCGCTGCGTCTCGAATACCAACAACTCTCTCTCTCTCTTACTCTCTCGAGAATACCTGAGCAGCCAGATCCGCGCGGTCCCGCAGATGGTGCTGGCGAGTCACCTCGCCCTCGTGAGCGAGTAGCGGATCGACTCAACACGACTCACCCCATGGTCACGAGCGCAACTGCAGACGGCGCAACAACGAACAAGCGGCGGGGTCTCCGCGACGCAATGCTCAGCCGATCGGGGAGGTCAAGGCTGCGAATCGAAAGGGGGAAGCGGGGACTGCGCCAGCGCAAACGACCGCGCATCTTGTAGGGAGATGGGCTCATCCCCAGGGCAGTTTTGCAGCCGCCTGGAGCCGCTCGTCTGCCCTGGCGTGAAGAACTCCTCACGCGATGAGCACGTCGACGGCCCGGTCGACGGCTCGTAGTTGCCCTGGGACAAGGCCCCCAGCGGCGAGCGCAGCTCGGAAGCGGAGGCAGCCTAAAGACGCGGGGTGGAGATGTGAGGGGGGCATGCGGGGGGCGGGCGAGAGGTGTGCTCACGACCTGCGGCGGCGGCGGCTGCGGCTGCGGCTGCTGCGGCTGCTGCGGCTGCGGCTGCGGCCAGAGAAATTCGCGCAAAGAGTGCTTGGCGGCGGCGGCGGCATCATCCGACGGCGAGGCTGCGTCGAGCCCAGAGGCGAGGCGGCCCGCGAGGGCTTTCGCCACGCCCGCCGTCACATCCGCCGAGCGCCCCGCCCGGCCCACCTCGCCCTCTGGCAGCGCCTCCGCCTCTGCTGTCGCCGCCGCTCCGCACGCCGCCGCGGGGCCATCGCCTGCGCCGCCCGCCGCGCCGCTCGCCGCTTCTGGCTGCACCTCCGCACCCGAGCCGCCCGCCGCGCCGTCCATTGACTCTTCCGCCTCGCCCGTCTCCGCCTCTGACACAGCCGTGGTGAGCTGCAACAGCAGCGGTTCGAGCGACCAGACGGAGCCGGCGATCGAGGGCTCCTCCAAGCGCGCCACCTCCATCTCGCCCTCCGCCGCCGACGCCACCTCACGCTCGCGCGGCGCCGCAGCCACTGCCGGCGCCGGCGCGTCGGAGAGCAGCGGGCTGGCAATCCCGGCAGGGGAGGCTGCGGGCGCCGTCGGTGCCGCCCGCATCGCCGCTCTCGCCGCTGCATCGGAGATCAAGGGGCTCGCCCAGCTGCCGGGGCCTGCACACCACGCGCGCCTCTGCACGCGAGCCCGCGCTGCAACAGAGAGGGCGGGGCTCGGAAGGACGCCGGGGTCGGTCGGCCCCGCCACCAGCCCCGCCCCGCGCTCCAGCCTCGCGCTCTCCTCGCCCTCTGGCAGCGCCTCCGCCTCTGCTGCCGCCGCCGCTCCGCCCGCCACGGCGGAGCCGACCGCCGCGCCTCCCTCTGCGCCGCCTGCTGTTGCATTGCCCGCCACCACGTCGCCCGTCGCCGAGCCGCCCGCCTGTGGCTGCACCTCCTCGGGCGCCTCCTCCTCCACCGGGCCGCCCGCCGGGCCACCCTGCGCCGCCACGCCGCACGCCGCGCCCGCCGCCGAGTCGCCCGTCGCGCCGCCCGCAGCGCCGTCCGCCGCCGACCCGCTCTGCGCCTCCTCCGCCTCCGCCTCGACTGGCCCCAGCCCCGCCGCCGCCTCCTCCTCCTCCGCGTCCGCCGCCGACCCACCCGTCGCCGACCCGCCCGCCGCGCCGTCCGCCGCCGCAGCGCCGCCCGCTGTCGCTCCGCCCGCAGCGCCGTCGTTCGCGGACCCATCCTCCGCCACGGATGCCGCCACCTGTGCTCCGGAGAATATGTGAGACGAGGAGAGAAGGGGAAGCCTGTCGGAGAGGTGGCGCCTCCGTGAGCTGCGCGCGAATGTCCGCCATCTGCCAGGTGTACGAGACTGTCGCCGCCCTCCTGCTGCTCCTCTGCACAGCACTCGCCGACCATGTGCGCGGTTTGCCGATCGCTGCGCCGTCTGCCCCCTTCAGGCAGTAGTGAGCTTTGCTGGTCGGGTGCTTGACGAGCGTCACCAGCTCACCTGCCACACAGCTCATTCGTGAGGTGAGCCGAGCTGCGGGCCCCAAGGCTTGGCGGCGGACATGCTCCTGCACGATCGGCGTCGTTGAAGCGGTAGCAGCCGATCGCGGTGGCGTCGGGTGGGATCACGGGCGGCTCAAGCAACGAACCGCTGGCCTGACCGATTGCTGCCGTGTCGGACGCGCTTGCATCTGCAGGCGTGCGACTGCGCGACAGACGTCTGGGGGGCGACCATCACGACTCGGTTGGAATCGGCCAAGGGTTCCAACTTTTTCCGGGGTGGGGGGGGTACCTTCCGTCGGCCCCTCCCTCTACTGCCGCCGCCGACCGCAGCGCCATGAGGTAGGAACAGGCGCCCGTGTCGCAGAGCTGCTGCAGCTGCTCCACACTCCACTCGCCGACACCCTTCTGGTTGCGGAGCGCCTCAATGTCGCGCGAATCAACATAGCGGCAAGATCTCGAACGCCAGCCGTCCAAGTTGGTTGACCTTTGTGTTGCGCTCCTCCTTATTCGCGAGGTTACGCATCTCGGTGACCAGCGCGAGCAGCGATGCCTTGGTGCAGCGCCAGCAGAGAGTGAATACGAGCTCGAGGGAGTCGTAGGCTGCGGCTCAGTCCGACTCGGAGGAACGCCGCGTGTGAGAGCGCTTCTGTCCCCGTGGCCGACCTCACACCGGCAGCCACTCTCGTCCAACCACACCCAGTGATCTCCCGCGGATGATTTGAGTACGCCCGTGGCTGCCATGCCGTGATAATGCTCAAGCAGCAGCGTGCTGCCGCTTGAAGGCGTCAGGGCGAGCTGCTTACGTGAAACACAGCGGGGCAGACACCCGAGGACAGTGCTGTCGTCCACATCTCGGCCGAGGACAAAGTCTCCACGACTGGGGCCAAAGGCAGGGTGCAACGGTCCGACGCACCCCGGGAGCGAAAGGGCGACCCAGTGGCGGAAATCGCCGCCTGCTGCGTGGGGCGTGCGGGCTTCAACACGCTCGCGCACGAGTGCGGGTGCAGGCACTCAGGCCAGCGGCCCGGAGGGCTGCTACCATAGAGCCGCCCGTGATCCCACCCGACGCCACCGCGATCGGCCGCTACCGCTTCAACGACGCCGATCGTGCAGGAGCATGTCCGCCGCCAAGCCTTGGGGCCCGCAGCTCGGCTCACCTCACGAATGAGCTGTGTGGCAGGTGAGCTGGTGACGCTCGTCAAGCACCCGACCAGCAAAGCTCACTACTGCCTGAAGGGGGCAGACGGCGCAGCGATCGGCAAACCGCGCACATGGTCGGCGAGTGCTGTGCAGAGGAGCAGCAAAAGGGCGGCGACGGTCTCGTACACCTGGCAGATGGCGGACATTCGCGCGCAGCTCACGGAGGCGCCACCTCTCCGACAGGCTTCCCCTTCTCTCCTGTCTCACATATTCTCGGAGCACAGGTGGCGGCATCCGGGGAGGAGGCGAACGACGGCGCTGCGGGCGGAGCGGCGGCGGCGGGCGGCGCGGCGGCGGGCGGCGCTGCGGCGGGCGCCTCGCCGTCGGGCGGCTCGCCGGCGGGCGGGCGGCAGGCGGGCGGCTCGCCGGCGGCCGGCTCGGACGCGGCGCCAGGCGCGGGGTCGGCGGTCGGCGGGGACGAGCGCGGCTGGGAGGAGGGCGGCTGGGACGAGGCGGCAGAGGGCGAGGAGGGCGCGGCCGAGGAGACGGGCGCGGCGGGCGCCTCGCCGGCGGGCGCCTCGCCGGCGGGCGGGCAGCGGGCGGGCAGCTCGGCGGAGGCGGAGGCGATGGAGGTTGAGGACGGCGCGGAGGAGGGCGGCCCGTTCGCGGCGGCAGGCGCGGAGCGCGCCGCCTCGGAGGAGGAGGCAGGCGACGCGGAGACGGGCGAGGCGATGGACGAGGCGATGGACGAGGCGGGCGGCCTCGGCGACGATCCCCCCTCCCCGCTTGGCCGCGACGGCGGGGAGGCCCCCCAGCCCCCCAGCGGCGCCTCCTCGGCTTCCGAGCCCGCGCGCCCGCCGGTCGCGGCGCCCACGCCCTTGACCGGGAACGTCCGCCAGCAGCGCCCGGCCGCGGAGATGCAACGCGCCGCCAAAACCCCGAGGCGCAGCGAGCCTGAGCGCAGCGAGCCTGTCCACTCCGCCGGGGAGGGGAGCCCCGCCGCCTCGGAGGGGAGCCCGCCCCCCAACGGCGCTTCCTCGGCCTCCGACCAAGAGCGCCAGCCGTTCGAGGCGCCCACTCCCTTCACCGGGCACATCCGCCCTCACCGCCCGGCCGGGCTCGGCGTGGACGACGACGGCTCCGCGCCTCCCTCGCCGCCCCCCCCTCGCCGTCGGGAGGAGGGATTCGCCCCGTGGTCGGCGCCCGGGGCTCCCCAGACCGTGCCTCACCGGCAGACCGGGGCGGTCCAGACCGTGCCTCGCCGGCGGACCGGCCCGCCGTTGCCAACAAAGGCGGCGCGGGCTGCGGCTCGCGCCGTGGGCCCCGACAGCCGCCTGTCCAGCATGCTCTCCGACACGCAGAAGCTCGCCTCTCGTCTGAGAGGCGAGCTGCGCACGCTGCGGGGCGAGGCGGCGAGGCTGCGGGGCGAGGCGGCGGCGGCGGCTCGCACGTACGGGTGGCTGCTGCGCGAGTACTCCGCGAGCCGCGGACGGCCGGGATTGCTCGCGATCGAGCGCGCCGCCAACGTCATCTCGTGCACGCCAAGGGCCCTCGCGCAACTCTGTGGCATGCTCGCTCAGTCGCGCATCGCTGAGACGTGAGCTGGTTCCGGCGCTGGGCGGCACCGGTCACGCCCTCACTAGTGCAGCCCGGCGGCGGTGGTGCCTGCGGGCTGCTGAGCGCGTCGCCGCCACGCGGCCTCAGCCGGCAGCCGGCAGCGGATGCGCGATCGGGGCTCGATCGCGCGAGACGATGAGTTAGTAGATTTGTGTCGACGGCGCAGACAGCGCCGGTGTGGAGCTTGTCGGCGCGACGCGTACTGTTGGTGAGGTGATGACTCCTCCGAGAGTGATGAGATGAGGACATATCCATTGTGGAGAGAGAGGTCAGACTGTTGGATGTGCGTTTGGGATTGCGCCTAGTACTGCGCTCTGTGGCTTGTTAGAGAGCATGAAAAGGAAGGCCTAGTCGTGAGCCCCGCCCCACGACACCATCTAACCTGAGTCAAAGACGCCATGTTCGCATCAACAGAGGTTGCACAGCTGTGAACTGAAGAGTATGAGCACCTTCCAGGAGGAGCTCGAGGAGACGGCAGCACTCAGTGCGACGCTCAGGGCGCAGCGGGAGGAGGCCGAGGCCCTCCTCGATAGCATCGCCACTGGCGATGCCGCGCTCGACGAGGCTTCCAGCAACGACGCAGGCGGGCCGACCGAACTAGCGGCTGCGGTGCGGCTGGTGGCGCTCGACCCGCGGCTTCTGTCCGAGTTCGCGCTGCAGATGAGTGAGCAGTTCCCCGTCGGAACCGGTGACGGGCCGCATGCCCTCGCCGCCAGCAAGAGCGCTCGCGACGCGGCGCAGGCGGCGGCTGTGGCCACCGCTGCCGCGGCCGCAGCGGGCGCGGCGGCGAAGCGGGCCTCCTCCGGGAGCGCGGGCGCGGGGCGCGCGGCCGACGCGGCGGCGAGCTCCGCGGCGGCGGCGGAGGGAGCCCGCAAGGGCGCGGAGGGAGTGGCCGGCGAGGCGGCGGGCTCCGCGAAGGCGGCGGCGGGAGACCGCGCAGCCGCGGAGGGAGCGGCCGGCGAGGCGGTGGGCTCTGCGAAGGCGGCGGCGGGCTCCGCGGCGGCGGCGGCGGGTGGGAGCGAGGGCGCGGAGCGAGCGGCCGTCGACGCACGCGCCTCGGCCGGAGCGGCGGGAGCCGCGGGAGCCGCCGCCGCCGCCGAGGCTCGCGCGGCGTCGGACTCTGCGGCGGCGGCGGCGGGAGACCACGCGGGCGCGAAGCGCGCGGCCGGCGAGGCGTCGGGCTCGGCGGCGGCGGCGTTGGGCTCCGCTCGCGCGGCGGAGGACTCTGCGGCGGCGGCGGCGGTGGCCCGGACGGCCTTCAGCAAACTGCTGGAGGACCTGCAGCAGGCGCAGGCGCAGGCGGAGGCGGCGGCGGCGGCGGAAGCCGAGGCAGCGGCTAGGGCGGAGGTCGCGAAGGCAGCGGCTCTTGTAGAGGTCGCCGACAGGGCCGCGAGGCAAGCTGCAGCGGAGGCGGCGGGGAAGGCAGCCCGGGCGGCGGCGGCGGAGGCGGAGCGGGCGGCGGCGGTGCGGGCGGCGGCAGAGGCGGCTCTGTCTGCCAACCTCGATCGGCTCGAGGCGCGGTTCGACCGCTCGGACCGGCAGCGACGAGCGCAGGTCATGAGCGCGCCACTGCACTTCAAGGCGACCACCTCCCACAAAACGACCGTCGGGGGGGGGTGGACGCAGGTGTGGCGCAATGTTTGCCAGCGGCACTCGGGGACCAGAGGGGAGAATGGGCTGCCGGTGTGTTGCCCCTGCAGGAAGGAAGGGGACCGGGGGCGTCCGCATGCGATGTCCGTGAGCGTTGCCGGGGCGCACGTGGTCTTTCGGGATGGGGAGGGCACGTTGCACGCCGGGATCATCCCCGTGTGCAACAGCTGCAACCGCTCGGAGCTGGACATCGTCTGGCCGTGCGCAGCCGTCACGATAATGACCGTACGCCTGCTAGGGGACAGGAGGGCGTCAACGTACACTGGAGAGCTGTACCCGAGAGATAGGACGCGGCGCTACGAGAGAATCACGCAGATCCTCACAACCCCCACCTCTGTCTCGCTGACGGGCCCGCTCGCGGGCGCCCCCGATCCCACGCCCCACACGAGCGAGTGGAAGCGCGACCCCGATCGGTACATGTGGTTTATGGGGTCCTTGCTCCAGGGCAGTGTCCACAGGGGCGGGATCAGCGACAATAGCCACGTGTCCAGGGTGGTGTTGTTCCAGGGTAGTATGTAGAGCAGAGTCGTGGTCTCGCTCCCGCGCTGCCTCATGTCTCTCATCGACTCACGTGTCTCTCTGTTGTAATATCGTGTCCACTACCACTTCGGGCGGTTCGCGCGTGCGCGGTGTGTCTCTCTCGTCTCTCGAGGTCGGTGATGTGCCGACGCGCGCACGCGGTGAGAGGCTGAGGGGAAGAGAAAAGAAAACGAATTCTGAGGGGCGACCCTCTCGGCACGTCGCGACTCCCTCAAGGCGCAAGGCGGCAAGGCGGTGCCGGTGGTAAGTGGTAAGTGGAAAAGTGCAAGGCCGCCAGCCACGACCTCCTGTGTCGACCTGTGTGTGCGCGCCCGCCGCCCCTCCTGTGTATGCGCGGAGTGCGATGGCCGATGCGATGCAAATTCACCTGCACCCCCTCCCTCGGACACCCCCTCCCTGTCATCTCCACTGGTTCCTCTACTTATATACATAATTATACGCGTGTGTGTCGGCGTGAGAGAGCCGGGCGACGGCACAAGTCACAACGTGACGAGAACGTGCCGCGGAGTCTGGGGCCCGTGAGCCGTTTGCGCGGGACGGCGACTCAAGAGATGGACGGAGAGGGAGCGCTCGACTGGTACTCATCGCGCACGAGCTGCGCCAGCCGCTCGGTCGGGCCGAGCATGGCGCCGACGAGGCGGTGATCCCCTCCTTCCACCACCTCGAGACGGAGGCCCTTCCTCCTGCAGAGGTCGACCACCCGCTCAAAGGGGACGGTGTCGTCGCGGTCCCCCTGTACCACCAGCACGCGCGCCGCCGCGGCCGCCGGCAGCTCCGGCTCGAAGGACGGCCACGCCAGGTTCCACACTCCGCGCGCGCTGATGGCCGGGGCGAGGAGGACCGCCGGTCCCGCCCAGTAGCCCTGCTCGATGCACTTGAGGGCGACGGCGCCGCCCCACGACGAGCCCACGATCACATCCGGCTTTTCGCGCCGCAGCGCCACCTCCATCAGCGCGACGCAGCGACGCATGGCCACACGCATTCGCCACTGCAGGAAGGGCACGAGGCCCGCGCTGGCCAGCCCAGCGACGCTGAGGCCGATCGACCCGCCGGCGTACCGGGCCGCGGCGCCGAAGGAAAACACGTAGGCGAGGCACGCCGCCATCGGACCATTGCGCCGCAACGGGTTGTACGCGGACACCCGCTGGTCCGGCGCCGCGGTCTCAAAGCGCTCGGATAGCCAGCGAGCCTTGCTTCCAAACGCTCCACTCTCGAGACCGTGCATGAAGAGGACGCGAGGCGGGCGCGGCGTCGCGACGGAGCTCATCAGGACGACGCGGGCGGCGAGGTTCGGTGAGGCAGCCGACGAGCGCGCGAGCATCCTCGCCCTGCTAGATGTTCCCGGCAAAAGAGAAAGCGAGCGCCAACAAGCACACAACCTAGCTTCTCACATGACAAGCGACGCGCGGCAATTTCTTTGTTTCATTCGATCAGCCTGGAGATTGCAAACTGCCCGGCGCCGGCTGCTGCCGCACAAGGCGCCCGCTGCACCGCTGAATGCGGCTTCCGACCCCGAATATCCTCGGCGCGGGCGCCGCCGGCGCCGCGACCGCAGCATCCGCCGCTCTCCCTCCTGCGTTTGCGCCGTCGCTGGTGCCGGCTCTGCTGATTGCAGACGAAGGCTCCTCTGGAATGGTGATTGTGATGAGCGTAGCGGCGGCCGGGATAGCAGGGATTGCTCTCGCTCTCGCATCCATGCTGCTCGGCAACGCTTGCTTCCAACCGACCCATCCCGGCCTCGCCGCTGGGACCCGCGCCCTCCGCGGTTGTACGGGCTCACCGACCGTGTCAGAGCCGGATGCTTTCGGCGCGGACCTCCTCGGAAAGGGCTGAGCTGCCGCGGCTCGGAGGAAGAGTGGTGCGCAGGGAGCCCCCAGCGGCATCCCGACGTCTCATCGCCCATGTGACTTGCATGTGCTTGCAGCCTTCCCGTGCGTGACCAGCGGGTGTTGTGCATCCCTCGTGGACTTGAGCCGCCCCCTGATTCACAGCCTGGGGGGCGGCCTGTGACAGTCTCTCCGCGGCGTGTCTGTATACTGGGGCTCGCGTCGCGGACAGCGCCGCGCTCGCAGTGTCGCGAGGATGCGATTTGTGCCATGCCGTCACGGGGCAGCTAGCGAACGAATTTCGTGTGGTATTTGTGCCACTGTCGTGCAGGGAAGTCTAGTCAAAAAAGCCCGGGGTCGTCAAAGCCCCGCTACCTCTCTCCTGCCGCGACATTGGTCATTGCCCACCGCCACCGCGTTCCCGCGATGACCACAGAGCACAGTCGTCAACTAGTGTACAGTGCTCTCACAGAACACAGTCAGTGCTCAGTGGAAGTATGTAACTAGTGAGAGGACTCGAGATTTGTTCGAGATTGGGGCAGAGCGAGTGGGAGAATTCGGCGGGCGAAATGCGGCGGTTTCGGGTTTGGATGCGTCCCCTTTGGGACGACCTGTTGGGACGACCTGTGGCAGCGACCGATGCCGTCACCGGACGCGGCGGCGAGGCACACGGGCGCCGGCGTGGCGCGTCGGCAGGCCCACCACGAGCGGATGCGCGACGAGCGCGCTCGGGAAGCGGCCGCGGGCGACGCGGAGCTTCCGCCGGAGGACGACGCGGTCGAGATGGCGAGCGCCGCCCAGCTGCTGGACAGCGTGGCGGAGGTGGGCCCGAACTACACCCTGCTGCGCAGCAAGGAGACGAAGGCGAAGCGGCGGAAGCGACAGCGCGAGGATGCCAGGGCGGCGCTCGACGGCCACACTGTCCTGTCCACCGGATCGCGCCTCGAGATCTTCTGCGACAGTGAGCGGTGGTACCCTGCGACCGTCATGGCGCGGGAGGAGGACGGGGACGGACGGATCGCGCACCAGATCGAGTACGACGGCTACCCGGATCGGCGGTGGTGGCACATGCTGGACGACGAGCGGTGGCGAGCCGTCGCAGAGCAGGCCGGCACGGGCGCAGGAGGCGCCGCCGCAGACGGGGATGGGGATGCGGCGATGGACCGCGCGGACGGCGAGCGGGGCGCCCGTGCCGCGGGCGATAAAGTATACCGAACGCCTCCATGAGCAGCAGCTCGAGCCGCACGCGGGAGAGCTCGAGCAGCTCGGCGGCGGGCACGGCGAGCAGCACGCTGCGCTTCTGGTAGCGGCCTTTGAGCGCTTTGATGCGGACGGGGGGCGGGCGGCGGCGTCGCCCGCGGCCGCGGCGGGGCGGGGCGGCCGCAGGTGAAAGATTGGGGCACACCCGTCGGAGCCATTTTCAGCCGTTGGCAATCGCCCAGGCCATCTTCCATGCCGCTTCTCCGGTGGAGCAGCGTCCAGAGCGCCTGCGCGAGGTATGCAGTGGCGAAGTCAGATGTGGCGAGGGTTGCGAACAAATAGTCAAAGCCAAGGTTTATGTAACTTCTTCCTTCGAGCTGTGCCACAGTGAAATGGAACTTACCCTTGGAATGGCCGGATCCAGCCTTAAAAGTACGAGATCGCGCGCGCTTCGCGCGCTGCACCGCCTGTTCTCCGCAGCTGAGTGACGACGCGTGCCGTGTGCCAGCAGAGTTGGGCGCGCGCGGCGCGACGGCGCCCGCGAGGGAAGGCGCGGGTGCAGCGGCCGCCGGCGGCCGTGCCGCCCGCCAGCCGGCGCAGCAGCGGCCAGCGCAGCGGCCGCCGGCGCAGCAGCCAGAGCAGCCGGTGCGCGCCTTGCGAGGCGAGTACTGCCGCCCGGCAGCCTTGAGGCGGCCAGGCGGCAGTACTCGTTCGAATGTTGCGAGCCGTGCGCGCGCCGAGGCGCCCGCGGCGCGCGCCCGCCCGGCTGCTAGTAGGAGGCGGCGCAATATGGCCTATAGTACAGCCCTTGAGGAGGAGGAAGAGGCTGGCTGGCAGTGCTGTATGCCGCCGAGGGGCAGTTTTGGGGTGCTGTCCCCATCCCAGGGGGCTGCAGAAGGCGTCCGCAGCCGGGACAACCCGCCCCCCCAGCCGAGGCCGGTCGAAGCCCACTTGGTCACAGCCATGAGGAGTCCTCTTGGTGCTCCTGGCGGCCGTTGGAATGGCGAGCGCGCGCCGAGGGGGGGGGGGGGGTCTTGCTTGCTCCACACCGAGCGCCATCGGTCATACTGACTACTACAAGACTACTGTGCGTCGTGTGGAAGCTGGGAAGAGAGTGGAGGTGGAGCAGGGTGCAGGCACCAGGCAGGCTAAGCTCTAGCCCCGGCTGCGAGGGAGGAGCTCGCCTGCTCGCTGCTCGTCCGTTTTTGCCTTCTACGGGACGGGGCACGCGTGTGCCAGATGCGCAATCAGCGCCCGCAGATCTCAGATTCGTATCGCCAGCATCGAGCTGTTCACACGCGCCCGCGCTGTTTTGACGGCCGTTTCGCCCCAGCGCGATGTCGGACAAGGCCGAGGCCGTCTCCTTCCTGCAACGGCCCAACGAAAAGGGTGTCTCCGTGTATTCGCATTTGACCGATGTGCTCGCCACCATCCTCGCTTCCAACCCTGCCGATGCACTCGGTGCGTTCGAGGCCCTCTCTGCAAAGGTCAAGTCGAGCTCCTTTGACCCTGCGGCCGTCACGGTGCCACCGCCGCCACCGACCACGGCGCCAGAGGTGCCCGACAGTGGCTGGCTGGAGAGGGACGCGGCCCTGCTCAAGCCGGGCTCCGAGGACGAGGCGGACGGACAGATACCCCCCTCTCTCCTCGACGATGCGCGGCTCCTCGACGCCGCGGGTGGGCGTAGAGATGTGGACACTGTTGGCTCGCACGGAGAGGAGGGTCAACGGCGGGACGAGCGCGGTGGATCTGGGTCTTGCCATCCCAGCCGCCGCCTCCAACCCCACCCCAACCCGCTCAGGTGCGAGCCTGTCACCCGAGGAGACCTACCGTGCGCACCTCTCTCTCTGCGCGCTGCAGCGCACCGCAAAGCTGCAGAGCGTGCGCTTCTTCGGCAAAATCCTCGGCACCGCAGCGGACTACTACGTTGCCGAGGCGAGACGAGCCGAGCCGCCCGAGCCGCCCGAGGCCAGCGAGCCGTCAGCGACGCCGGCAGAGGAGTATGGCTCTGGCTGCAATGCGCTCTCGTACTTTGTGACGCCGGAGCTCGGTGGCACATGGGAGGAGCTGCCGAGCGTCACGCCAGAGGCGATCGTCGCCGCGTCGCGGACGCGCAAGTTCTTCACGGGAAGCCTCGACGCCGACGTCTGCTGCTTCCCGCCCTTCCCCGGGACGGAGCGGCACTACCTGCGCGCGCAGCTCGCCCGCATTGCCCATGGCACGACGCTCTGTCCATCGCACAAGTACGCCCTCAGCCCGGAGGGCGCCGTGGAGCCGGCGGACCCCGAGGCGGAGGGCGCGCTGCCACCACCAACCAGCTCGCAGCTTTGCGAGCCCGCCTCGTGGCGCGCGCCCCGCCACCACCGCCATCGCCGTCTCGCGGACTCGACTTCTGACGCCGGCGACACTCTCCCAACAGGCGCCACAAGAACATGGGCATTCTCGCCATCGGTCGCTGCACCAACCTTCCGAGTCCCGAGGAGGCGGAGGCCGACGCGCCGCCACCGCAGCTAGAGCCGGAGAAGCCGGTGTCTAAAGCACCGACTTTCAAGCTCTCTTTGGCGGTGTGTCCTGACGACCGGACGCGACCCGCCCTATCAGGCGCTCCTGCCCATCGAGGCTTCAGACTGGGCGCTGGTGGGGCCCGCGGCCCTCGGTGGCGGCGCGTCGGTCGTCTGGTCGCGCTCGCTTCGTTGGCCGGGGGCCATTGCGGTTGTTCCGCCGAGCGGCAGGGCCCCACCGCCGCGGCGCCCCCAACCGGCCTCCCTCCTGCCGTATCAGGTGAGCGAGGCCAAGGAGGGCAGATATGCCAACCTCTACCTCGGCTACGGCCACCCGGTGGCCGCCGGGCCCATGTCGCCCTCGCCGCCTCCCCCCATCGAGGGCGACGACCCAACGGCCGAGCCGGTCGAGGCCGAGGACATGCCGCTCGACGACGAGAACGCCGCCGTCCGCGAGGCAGCAGAGGCTGCCCTCCGAGCAGGAGCGGAGGAGTGAGGGCGCGCTTCGAGAGACCTGGTGGGAGTATGTGGTGGAGAAGGGTCGGTGCAGACCGCGGAGCGAGGTGAGACCGCCTGCAGAGCGAGGTGTGGCCAGTGATTTACTGAGGCACGAGGCGGCCGTCCGAGCCGGAGTCCTGTGAGTGTTCTGAGTTTGTTTCGCTCCACTTTCGGTCAGTCAGAGGACAGAGCGCGCACATAGTCTCTATAGAATCTTAGAATGATAGAGGTTACTGGAAGAGCGCCGTTGGCACGACTTTGCATGTTGATGTACAACACGGCTCTCCCCCGTCCCCGACGACTGGCGACGCTGCGTGGACTCATTGCGAGCGCACTCTCCCTGCGGCTGAGCCTCTGCTGTGTGCTGAGGACTGACTGCTGTGAGCGTGTGGCCTGTGTGCTAAGTGCTCTTTCTGCACTCTGGGTGGACTCTGTAGACTCTCGACACTCTGGTCCCGTGGAGACGCAGACGGCGCGCGTGAGCCGCGTGGAGCGTATGTATGTACTGAGCGTGGTCCGTGGTGCGTGGAGAGCCGTGGTCGCGTGGTGCGTGGAGGCTGGAGCACACTGCCACTGAGCCATGGGCGGGTAGGGCGCCCCGCGTTGCCGCGTAAAGTAGGGAGCAGCTGCTAGGGGGGCTAGGCCTAGGGGCGCGTGGGGGAGAGTGCCTGGGTGAAATTCTCAAAAAGGTGCAGTGGTCCCCGGACACAGTTATTGTTATGGTGTTATGGCTCTCGGGGCATAGCAGCCCATAACATGTTATGGGCTGCTATGAGAGAGCCGTCCCGGATCCACGGTGTTATGGCCCGAGAGGCCACACCGAACTGCTCGCCGCTGGAATTTTCGCTTCGCGCGCTGCCGCGCGCGCGCGAGGTTCGGCATCGACCGCCAAATATTTTCTCTTTTGCCCTTAAGTTAAATTCAATAACATCAACCTGCCTCCTGACTGAGGCTGAGCGATGGCTTCAGATTGCTCAATCAAGACCCCCCCCCCCCCTTCACGCAATTTGCTTCCCGTTTCTAACTCGTACTCTCTGCAGCTCTGCCGCTCCCCTCCGTTTTAACATGTACCTTAAGGTCTGTCTTTCCGCAATTTAACTCACGTCCTTTTTCTCTGAGCCCTGGCCTCGATCGACACCCTCGACACCGGGCCTCGACACCTCGACACCAGGGCTCAGATTTTCTTTCCTTTTTTCGCTTCATGTCTCGAGGTTTCTAACAAGTGGAAGCTGGCTGCTCCCGCTTTTTGTTAAAGCTCCGTGCCAGTCGTGCGAGCGATGGATGGATGTTGCTGCTTTCCGCGTTGCTGATGCCCTGCACTCCTCTTCGGATCGGGCCGACCCGTATCGAACGTGAGCTGGCAGAGTTAGAGCAGGCTGCTGAGCAGGCCGGGCTCGACGGTGTGAGGTTGCCATTCGAGCTGGACCTGGTTCCGGCGATGTTTCAGCATCTCCTCTCGACCGGCGCGCTCAACCGGCGACATGGTTCTCTATCAATCGATCGCTCCAAAAAGAAGAATTTACCCCACGCGGGTTTATCGCGGCGTCCAAAAGAAAAATCCGTGACACATAACACCGGGTGCACCCGGACCCCCCCGGAGGGGCCCGGGAAGGGTCTAGCGGCCCTCCAGCGGCCCCCAACGCCCCCCCCGCGGCCCTGTTTTGGTAGTGTATCACACGTATGTTATGTCACTATCATACCCACGACCCAGGGTACGAGCGTTTACGAGCGTCTACAAGGTCGAGCCGCTGGAATGCCTCCTCCAGTGGCACCCAGTCGCGCTCGAGGTACGGGAGGAGCATATCATACAGTTTCACTGCCCGAGCCTGCAGCTTGGCACACTCGTGGCACTTGTCCTCGTGGGCGAGCTGAATCCCGTAAACGTCCCGCATATCATCGAATTGCGCCTCGTTCAGGCCCGCGTCGATCATCCGACGGGTCACCCGGCGTTCGAAGACGCTTTCCCGATCGCTGTCCGAAGACGCGTCGTCGGGACGGGAGTCGCTGGCAGGCAGGTCCTCGACAGCCGGCTCCTCCTCGACCGCGGGCTCCTCTGGCGTCGGCACGTCCTGCAAAGTTTCTGGAACGACAGCGAGAAGCGCCTCCGCGCCCGCCTGCCGCCGCTTGCACTTGCCCAACTCCTTGTCCACGCCGCTCGCGTGTGTCTCGAGCCGCTTGCCGTACACGACCGCCTGCTCGAGTCGCGCGCCCGCCAGCTCGCCGCGTAGGTCCCACACAAGGTACGCCAGCGCAGCCTTCTTCAGGTTCTTTATCTGGAGAGCCATCAGCGCGCCGCGCCGCTGCGACAAAAAGAGCGTGTTTACGGCAGCTTTCGCGGCGATGATGATGCCGTTGGTGACCTCGCCGACGATGCTGACCTCGTTGGAGGGTGCGGGGACGGGATGGTTGCCGAGGAGCATGGTCTCGAGGCGATTTAAGAGCGCGGTGGGCTCCAAGGCGAGCTGCGCCGAACTGGAGCGAGTCGGCCGCGCCCGAATTGCTGGCGCCGCATCGGCGCCGAACGAGTCCGACACGACCGCGGTCTTCTCCACCGGCTCGAGGTTCGCCATCCGCGGCGCTGCACCGCGGATTCGAACGGCTGCTCGCTCCTGCTCGGCGGCTGGCCAGTCAGCCGGGCGCTTCGAGAGGGCGGTCGCCGTCGGTGCACATCGACGATCATGGCGAGCGAGCAGCCCCGCGGTGAGTGGATGCAGCCCACCGGAGGTACTGTCTGAGGTGGGGCCCGGCGCGTGAGGCTCGTCGGCGTCCGCCATCACCGCCTGCGGCCACTGCAGAGTCGGCAAAATCAGGCTCGATTTTGGCCATTTTGGCACGGACCCTTGCGGACTCTTCACAGCTGGGTCCCGGTGCACCCGGCAGCTGTTATGAGGTTGTTATGCTGGCTGTCATAACAACCAGTGGGATGTGTTATGAGTGTTATGAGGTGTTATGAGGTGTTATGAGGTGTAATGGTAGGGTGGGCATAACAGCCATAACAGCGATGGAGGTGTTATGAGGTGTTATGAGGTGTTATGGGGTGTTATGAGCAGCCAGCCATAACAGCCATAACACCTGTTATGGCCGCTCCCATAACCTTGTCTGGGGACAAGTGCAGCACTTCTAGCCAACATCGACAAAAGTCCCTCTCTAGCCCCGCGGCGAGCGGGAGCAGGCGGACATCGCTTCCAGGGAGGGGGGCGCCCTTCTCTGCACACCACATGCTAGGGGGGGGGTCCGACCCCCCCCATAGGCTTCAACGCATTCTAAGCCGGGGGGGGGGCGTGAGTAGAAGTGCGCCCCCCTCCCTGCTCCGGCCCCGCCGGAGGCGAAGAAAATTTCGCCATCTAGCGCTCGCAACACATAGATTTGTGCATAAATCAACACCTCCAATCTTCGGGGGAGTGACGGATAAAGGCGTGCGAAAGAGCTAATGAATCCGAAAGCAGCGAATCCAAGTGATGGCCCGCCGCAGGCGAAGAAAATTTAGGGTTGGGGTTCCCCTATGCCAAAGAATTTAAACAAAACAACTGCCATGCCAAAGAATTCTGAGAGGATTTCGGCGGCCGGCGCGCCGAGGCACAGCGGTTCGCGCTGCCTGCTCGCGCTGGTTACACCGTTGCTGTGGCCGTCTTCGTCCGTATTGTACACCGAGCTGGCGCCACAGCAGAGTACAACAACGGCTCGGACGAACTGCTCCACGGGACTACATCATCAGAGGGCCCGGCAAGGTCCACGCGACGGCGGAGCTGGCGGTGGTGGGAGTGGTGGTAGGAACAAAGGCGCACCTGTCGGCGACGCACCGCCGTTCGTTCCCGTCTCTCAAAGCTGGTTACACCGTCGATGCGCACATCGAGGCGCTCGTGGACGAGAGAGACGTCGCCTCCTCTTTCGTCCCGGGGCACTGTTCACGCCGGAAGGCCCCGTACACTGCCAAGTACATTAGCCTTCATCTCTCCTACCGCCGGCCGGGAGTGCAGCCGCGAGCCGCCACCAGTGAGATTGTCCTCGACGTTGGCACCTGCGAAGTAATGAACAACAGGCAGTGCGTCATATGGCGCTATGATAGCCCTGCGGTGGACGTCCTCGACGCAGACGAGGCGGAGCTCATCTGCGCGGCGCAGATCGCCGACTGTCTCTCCCTCCCTGCGCGAGTGGTTGCACCACCCTGGATGAGGCATCTGGGCTGGGGCAGGGCCGTTAGTAGAGGAGGGCGACTGAGGGCGCGAGGCCGCCAATCGTCAAAGTCTGCTGCGACTGACTGTCGGTCACTGACTGAGCAATGAGCAATCGCATCGGCGGTTTCACTCACGCTCACAATCGGGTTACATCCAGGTCTCTGTGCGGGATGTGCTGGGGGGCTGCCCCCCAGTCGATTGCCGCATAGTTCGTCGATGTAACCCTACCAGAAAGCTGTATTCACACCTACCCTTCCAAAAAAGAAATGTCCCTGCTTTTGTCGAAGATCCGGCGGGTTTATCGGAGCATCACCCAATGTGAAATTCAGACTGTCTCGTGTCTGTCTGTAAAGTTGTATATGTACCGACCACCCCGACCCCGACCGCGACCCGCGACCGGCTCGGCATCGTGGTTCGTGCTGCCTTTGTTGGAATGGTGCATGTCCGCTTACGCAATCCGCTCTGGCAGTACTCCACACACACTCATGTCTGTCCCCACACCTCTCAAGGCCCGTGTGGCCACAGCTGCGGGTCGTGCTGCCTCGCGTTGTTCGTGGGGCGAAACGCCATCGCCGCCCGATCGCCGCGCGTGCCCTTCTTATGGTTGGCGACGTCCCGGATGTTGAGCGGCGTGAGCCGCGGCGGCGGCGGCGGCAGGGGTATGCTGCGGTACACAAAGTGCGGGGCGCGGGGCGGCGGGGGCGAGGGCGTCGGCGGCGGAGGCAGGCCATCGCCCGCCCCGAAGCCACCCCGCACACCTCCGAACCTCCGCGACGGCGGCGGCGGGGACGGGGTGGGCGGCGGCGGCGGGCGCGGCGGCGGCGGCGACGGCGAGGGCGGCGGCGGAGGCGAGGGCGGCGGCGGAAAGGCGGGCGGCGGAGGCGGCGGGGGCGGGCGCGGCGGCGGGGATGGAGGCGGGGGCGGGGGCGAGGAGGGCGGCGGTGGCGAGGGCGGCGGCAGCGACGGCGGCGGCGGCGGCGGACTCGAGGGCGGCGGCGGCGACGGCGGCGGCGGCGACGGCGGCGGAAGAGCTGGCGGCGGCGGGGGCGGCGATGACGGCGGGCGCGGAGGGGGCTTAGGCTGTGGGGCGCCAGGCGGCAGTGCCGGTGGCAGCCACGGCGGAGGCCGCGCCGGCGGCGGCGGCGGACACGGCGGCGGCGGCGACGGCGGCGGGATTGCCGGCGGCGGTGGCGAGGGAGGCGAACTGGGTGGCTGCGACGGCGGCGGCGAAGGAGGAGGCGGCGGCGGCGGCGACGGTGGTGGCGGCAGCGGGGGCGGCGGGCGCGGCGGCGGGCGCGGCTCCGGAGCGACCGGCGGCGGGCGCGGCGGCGAGGGCGGCGGAGGCTGGGGCGGAGGCGGCGACGGCGGCGGGGTTGCCGGCGGCGGTGGCGAGGGCGAGGGCGGCGGCGAGGGCGGTGGCGGCGAGGGCGGCGGGCTCGACGGCGGCGGCGACTGCGGCGGTGGCGGTCGCGGCGGAGGAGAGGGCGGCGGCGGCGGCGGCGGCGGCGACATGGGCGGCGGCGGCTGCGGCGCGTGGCCGGGCGGAAATGGCGGCGGCGCGGGCGGCGATGGCGGCGGCGGCGAGGGAAGAGGCGGCGGCGGCGGCCTGGGCGGCGGCGGCGAAGGCGTGGGCGGAGGAGGCGGTCTCGGCGGTGGCGGAGACGGCGACGGCGGCGGAGGCGGCTGGTGGCCGGGCAGGCGCGGTGGGCCTGTTGGGTGCGGTGGTGGAGGAGAGGGACCCGCGAGGAACAGGGACGACATAGGTGTTTTTGCGAGGTGCCGACCGGCGGTGAGCCACGCGCTTTTTTACGCTGTTCATGACGGCGAGGTTTTTGTTTTACGCTGTTCATGACGCTGTTCACACACAATTTCACAACCACGGACCCAAGACGCACAAGCTCAGAGACAGTCGAGAAGGGAGAGACAGCAACGACAGTCAGAAGCCAGCGCTGGGTACGAGGAAGGCGAATGCGATGTTCATATTGGCCTTTCCGAGGGTTTCCTCGCTCGCACCCTACCTGGTTTCCTTTCCGTGTTTCCTGCTCGTTTCCCTACAACACCCTCTAGTTTCCTCGGGAAACCCCGGGGAAACTCCGTGGAATTCGTCATTTTGGGGGGGCTCTGAGCCGTGTCTGAGGCTGTTTTCCTCCAAGACACAGTCGGCGACGAGGCAGAGGCTAGCGGAGACCCGACAAAGGACGAGGGAGACCCTAAGCCGTCCCATGGGCTACGAGGACGACGACCGTACCGACACCCGCTGGAGCTTGCGACGAGGATAGGGCCCTTTGGAGAATTCGCCCTTACGCTGGGATACGGGCGAGTGGTGAGCGACAGGCAGAGACAGATCTTGGATGCTGGCGATGCGACATCGGACGTACTTGCTACTTCACGGTCACGCCGCAGAGGAGGCGGCGAGGAAGAATGCGCTCGGAATGGTGCCACGGCGGCGCTGACCTCAAAGGAGGGCGCGCCCGAGGCGCTGCCGCTCATGCTGAGCCTGACCGAGCCCGCGACCGCCGAGCCCAGCTCGAGGCAGACGTTTCCTCCATGCAGGCGCACCACCCCTCCCCCGCCGTCGCCCTCCGCCCCGCCCTCGCCCCTAACGCCACGCCCCGGTCGCCTCTCGCCATTCTCCTCCACCCTCCCCTCCCCCCTCCCCTCCCCGCCCACCGCGTCTTCACAGAGAGGGCGCCGACGACGAGGGCTCGAGGAGGACTCCGCTGAGGGACACGACGCGGTGGAACCGGCGCGGCTCCGGCACGGCCCCGTCGACGTGCTCGTCCCACTTCCTCACCCCCGCGTCCGGCTCGAGCACAGCATCCTCCGTGAGTGAGGGGGCCCTCCTCGACTGGATGATCTACGCGACTGCGCAAGAGATTGCGGAGGCGCAGACGGGGCCTTGATCCGCGTGATCGCCCCGCGCCGCGTGGCCCGCCGCTTTGTCCCTTGAGCGCGGCGTCGTTGAGTCACTTTCATACGTTTCGTGCGCGTGGGCCACCGTGCGTGCTCTGATGATTGCGTACCCGCCGGATGAGTGCGTACCCGTTCTTGCGTACCGCGTACGCCGTTCCTGCACCCGTATATGCCGTCAAGCGCCGTATCTCCGCCGCGTCGATCCTGGTGCGATTCGTCTTTCGTGTGTGGAATGTGTGTGCTGCCGAGAAGCGAGATCGGCAAAATTCCAAAAACATGTTGGTGCGCTAGGTGTGAGACACAATACTTTATGATGAAACTGCCGCACGCGTGCTAGAGTGGGGCCTGCACGCGCCATGGGCATGCCGGCGTGCACGTGGGCGCATCTGGGCGCCGTGGCGCGCGAGCGGCGCGGAGGCCGAGGAGTCGACGCTGCAGCCTGGGGAGCAACGGCAGAGCGGGCGCGCCGCGCTGCGGCCTGAGGAGCGAGGGCATCGGGCAGCCGTGCCAGCCCTCTGTCCACTCCCTCAAGACGCCGCACCGCAAGCGCCGGCTCGGCCGCCAGCAGCGGCAAACGAATGCAGCGTCTACCTAGCCAAGCCGGCGCCGGCGGGGCAGCTAGAGCCGCCCAGCCAAGCACTCGCCACCGGCCCCCTCTCCCTCCTTCAGGCACCCCGCCGCCGCCGCAGCGTCGGCCAGCGCAGCATCGGCGAGCGCCGCGTCCAGACCAGCAGCGCAGCAGCGTATCCACCACTGCGCCGTGCGCGTGGGCCGTGGCGCGCGAGCGGAGGGCGAGGGGGTCCCACTCTGGCAGTGCACGCGAGTCGCACTTGGCCGACTGCGACGCTGCAGCCCGCGGGAGCAACGGCAGAGCGGGCGCGCCGCGCTGCGGCCTGAGGAGCGAGGGCATCGGGCAGCCGTGCCAGCCCTCTGTCCACTCCCTCAAGACGCCGCACCGCAAGCGCCGGCTCGGCCGCCAGCAGCGGCAAGCGAAGGCAGCGTCTGCCGAGCCAAGCCGGCGCCGGCGGGGCAGCTAGAGCCGCCCAGCCAAGCACTCGCCACCGGCCCCCTCTCCCTCCTTCAGGCACCCCGCCGCCGCCGCAGCGTCGGCCAGCGCAGCATCGGCGAGCGCCGCGTCCAGACCAGCAGCGCAGCAGCCCACCAGCGCAGAGATCAGCCGCTCGTCGGGTGGGGTAGGTCCGGCTGCGGCGGCGCTCCGCGGTGGACATCCCGCCGCCATAACCGCCGCAGCGCCCTCCCGTCACTCGACCCGCCGTGCTGTACCGGCTCCGCCGTCCTGAGCAGCCAGATCCGCGCGGTCGCGCCGAGAGCGCTGCGGGTCACCTCGCCCTTGAGCGAGTAGCGGATCGACCGGCGCCTTGCACCCAGCCACGTCAGCGAGGCATTGCAAGTTCCACGATGATGTTGCAGCGCCGCTCGCCTCCTCGCGCGCCAAAGGTCCCTGCAGATCACGGCCGGCAGCGGGTACCGACGCCGCTGCCGCAGGCGTCGCCCATTGTCGCGCCGCCGCCGCTGCTGCATTCGCTGCCGCCGCCGCCGCCGCCGCCGCCGCCGCCGCCGCCGCCTCCGCCTCCGCCTCCGCCTCCGCCGCCGTCTCCGCCGCCTCCGCCTCCGCGAGGACGCGCTTGCTCTCCCGCGCGAGAACAAGCGCGGCGTGCTCCGGGCAGGACCACACGCCGAAGCGCAGGCCCTTCTTGCCGAGGCGCTTCGCGTCGCTCGCGCACGGCTGCCAGTGTGCGGAGTAGGCCGTCGGGCCGCCTTCCGCCGTGCTGGCCCGCATAATGACGCCTTTATAGCCCGACGGGTTGATCGCCGTGCTCACCCTGTTCGCGCCCTCCTTTACCGCGGCCTCCCCAGCGGCCTCGGCACTCATCGCCTCGATCCTTCCCCTCTCCTCGCTACGGTACTTCCACCAAGCCTCTGCTCCAGTCGATGCATCAGCGGCTCGCTTCCTGCCCGACCCCGCCCTCCAGCCACCGCGGGCCCGCACGCCAACCTCGGCCACATGCCTGGCGTACGCGAGCGCGGCGTGCTCCGCCGTCACGAACTTGCCCAGGATCTTCTTCTTTGCCTTGCCGATGCTGCCATCGATGCTGCCATCAGTCGTCGGCCGGGTGTCCAAGACGGCGAAAGGGTGCAACCGCGAAGTGGACTCGATGACGCCCGCGAAGCCGGTGGCGTTCTTGCGTTCCACGAGCGAGAGGCCCTCCTTCTTCGCCAAGGCACGCGCCTGCTCAGCTGTGAGGTGGACGTCGCAGCCGCAGGCGAGGCGCGACAGCGACAGCGAGTGCATTGCTCTCACCTGCCACCAAAAAAATGATTTTTTTTGAGAGCGCCTTCGTTGTTAATATTTTGATTTTTTAAATGCTGCTGTGTACGCCGACTCAGGGTGTGTGGCAGCCAGATGGCTGTGTGTCTTGTGAGCCTGTTTGTGTCTGTGTGTCGCTCGTGCGTGTCGTCATCATCTGTCCAGCGTCCACCCATACCGCGTTGGTGTCCAGTCCGAGCCTGGCTGTTCTTCACCTTTCTAACCTACCTACCTACCTGCTGCTGCAGGAGCCTTCGCCAGGTCGTGTGAAGAGCACAGATGCTGTAGTGAGTGAGTGGTCCCGGGCCCTGCGGGAACTAAGTCGACGCAAGTTAGTCTGTGAGCTGGACGAGGGCTAGTGGTGCGCCGAGGCGGGTCAAGTGGTGAAGTGCTCCCGGGAGTCGTGGTCGGAGGCCGGGACGACACTATGCGCACTAACTTAGTGCGCGGAAGTGAGTGCCTCCGGCCGGCCGCGAGGGGAGTGGTCCGGCGGGCCGCTCGTAGTGCCCTTCGCCGGCGGACGGAGGCGGGCTCGGCTACTACGCGCACTAACGCTTAGTGCGCGGAAGTGAGTGCCTCCCGCCACCCCGCGCACTAAGTTAGTGCGCGTAGTGAGTGGGCCGCGGGCGAGCAGGCTAGTGGGTGAGTGCCTCCCGCCACCCCGCGCACTAAGTTGGTGTGCGTAGTGGGCGGGCCGCCTTCTAGTGGTCGGCGAGGCCGTGGCCAGTGCCCCGGCCCTGCGGCGCCGCCTAGTGAGTGAGTGCTCGCCGACCCTCCCCACACTAAGTCGGCATCGGTGCTGTGTTCTTTAGTTGGCGAAGGCTCCTGGCTGCTGCTCTGTTACCTCCGATCCACACGGGTACTCGCGTGCTAGGTAGGACAACAAGGTCCCAGTACACAGCGTCTCCACACTAGTAGGCGAGTCACACACATGTGTGGTCATTGGGATCAAAGCGCTGACTGAGAGTAAATGTCAAACTCCCCATGTGTGACGTTGTCAAACTCCCCCTCGCAATAGGCCGTGTGACCAGAAAATCCAATGACTGAAAAAAGAAAGCGCTGGTTTCAAACGATCCAAAACTCTCGCCTCGCGCGATGCCAAACTCTCAGAGGCGTCACGTTCCTGAGGGCGAGGCTCGACGGCGTGGCGACGGTGGGGACGGTGGCTGCCTTTGCCGGCGTTGACCGCGCGCCGCCGGGTGTTGACGCGCGCTTCAGCCCGGCGAGGCTGGCGGCCGACGCCTGGGCCACGCCGCGCGGCGACGAGAGCGCCGTTGGCGAGCAGACGCGAGCGTCGGCCTCGGGCTCCTCGAATACCGGGGACAGACGCTGCGACCGGTCCAGCTGTGGCGAGTAGTTCTCGGATGACTCGTCGCCGGAGCCGTCGCTGCCGTCGCCGTCCCGAGCGCGCCGCGCGCCGCCGCCAAGGGCCATCCCGGCAGCGCGAGAGCGAGAGAGAGTGGGGGGCCGCGATCAAGCGGTTCAAATGCCCGCCGATAGTGCGCCTAGTGCGCCAGGATGGCGGATCGGATGCCGCTTCTTTTTGCTTTAGGGCTGGGGAACTTCTCGCGAGAGGAGATGGAGGCGGCGGAGGAGGAGATGCGGCGGGGCGAGTGTTCTGATGCCTATGTGCTGACGTGCAAATCTGCTGCCGTGCGACATAAGCTCCAGCTCCATCAACCTCGCCACTCACTTGCCTCGTTCCAAATGCCGTTCATCTAGACACACCGGCTTGACACTTTTGGTCGATCCTCGACCGCGAGTTTGCCAAAGTGTAACAGGTCCCCGCCCGTGCCCACGCCGTGCGATCTTTGTGCAGGGTTCTTTGTGGGTGTGGTCGGCGAGTAGCCGGGGTCGTCCTCCCGATGGGGGACTAGCACCAGCCGTCTTCCACATGGTCCCTCGGGTCCCTGCAGCTGCTCCTAATCTCTTCGTACCTCCTCCTGCTGATCTCCGCAAAGTCCTGCTTCCTCCCTCGTCTCGCCCTGCGCGTCTGCTGAGACCCTAGCTCCCAGCCCCTCACCAGAAAACTGCCGAGCAGATGCGATCCCCGGTGGGCAGGACGATGAAGTGCGGCACAAAGGAGAACAGCGGCGCAAGGAGGTCAGCACACGCCCTCTGGGGGGAGGCGGGGGCCCCCGGAGGCACCGTGCGCCGCGCCGCAGTGCGGAAACGGGGCCCCGGCCCCGCTAGTCTCCGTTAGCACCGACTTCCCGATTAAGCTAGGTTAATCAGAGGGAAGATTTGGAGAGATCTCGAGGAGTACATACAGGTAGACCCTCCAACCATCAGAAAACTCCGACCTGATCGGTCGTACTGACCGCCGACAGATCACTCCAGACAGCAGACAGGCCGACGTCTGCACGCGGCCGGCCGGGCGAGAGGCTTGACACGATCCGACCCTGCGACCCTGACGCTGCTGCTCTAGCTATCAGACATGCACTACTGACTGCTGCCACAATATGCGACCGGTGCTGGCCCACTTGGCGGCCTTCCCGGTCAGTGGTGAGGCGCAGTTCAGAGTTGTCGATGGCGCGATGCCGCACTGGTCCCACATCGGTGACACGAGACCCCCACGTTTGCCGGTCCAAGAGAGAGGCACCGGCGCTGTCGTGAGAAGGTGCATGGTCCCTCTTGACTGCCCATGCGCGCGAGGCTGTGTAGGCATAGCCTCGAGAGTGCCAGCAGCCAATCCGAGGCAGTTTGTGACGCGCATTGCGTCAGAAGCGTGCACGCGCTGGAAGGGCACCTTCCTACTGGCCGTACGATCAGGTCGTCACTGAATGCTGGATACTAAGGCCGCGAGCTATGCAGGTGATCAATTGTGCATCATGGCACGGTCGCTGTCGCAAGGCGTGATAGATGGCGCAATACGCGAAATTCTCATGAAATTCTCCCTCGCCGCCTCGACGGCGGTGTGGGGTGGTGCTTTCTCCCTCGCCGCCTTGACGGTGGTGGCTCGATTCCCGGCGGCCTCTGGACGCTCGGCGACCGGCCTCACCCCTCTCGTGATTTGGCTGTCGCCTCTGTGGCTCCATGCCACGGCCAGTTGCCCCTTCTGTGGGGTTCATTGGGCTTTCCGGGCCACCTGCCCTCGCTCCTCCTCCACTGCGCGTTGGGATGTCAGGGATACTGCGTAGCCCTTCCTGGTGGAGGCGCGCGCGATTCCGTGACTCTCCTTTTACGCGCCAATGTACCCTCACCGAAGGTGCATAGGAGTGAATCCGAGTGTGAAACTAGTTCGCCGATAACGATTGGGGTAGGGGCCCTAACTCGTGATAGGCCACTAGTTTCCCGCAGGAGACTCACGGAGATCCTCTCCTCTCCTACCTCTTCTTCTGCCTCTGCGTCCTTCACGGACTCTCCGTGGACATCTTTTACTTCATCTTTTACGGAAGTTTGAACTTCCGTGCGTGTCCGGCGCTCCCGCCCGCTCGCTGCTCTGATGAGCGCGGCTTCCGCTGCTCTCTCCTGCTCACCTGGCCATGACGCCGCTCCTCGTCCTTGGCCGCGCCAGGCTCTCCTTCCTACTGCGCCAGCCCTTCGGCTGCACCAGTTCTTTCTTCTCCCCACCCACCCTATCCTGCCTACTCTCTGGCTTTGGAGTGTGGTTCTCTCTATCTGGCGGCTACAGGACGTTGAGGTCCCCTCCGTACCTGTAGCAACCCAAGCCGTTTGAGTCCCAACCCTCCGCCTTCAGTGGCAGGATCCCAGGGGATGTCAGGGATACTGCGTAGCCCTTCCTGGTGGAGGCGCGCGCGATTCCGTGTGACTCTCCTTTTACGCGCCAATGTACCCTCACCGAAGGTGCATAGGAGTGAATCCGAGTGAAACTAGTGAAAACAAGTGAAAAATGCGCAAAAAGAAAAAAATCGTGGAAAGCCCCCCCCCCCCCAGAGCACACGCCCTCCACTCCTCTGTCACCACACATGCTCCACCCCACTGCGTTCCTGTAATTATTACTTTTCAACTCTGTGTATCGCGCGCCTTGCGCGGGGGGCGCGGAAAAGAGGAACCTCTAGCGTCATCGCCATGGTGCCCCAAACAGAACAGGGGTGGGGCGTGGAGAGAAACAGGACAGGGCGAGGCCACACAGCGGCCACGAGCGCCAGCGGAGGCCCTTTTTCACCAACGGCAGCGAGGTCGCATGACCTGGGTTGATTCGTGCCACAACCGGCTAGTCGTCAGAGGCGAGCGTCGCGGACGAAGAGGCGGCGATCAGCCGCAAAGAGGGACTGAAGAGGAGCAGGCGGACCCAAACAGGACAGGGCGAGGCCACACAGCGGCCACGAGCGCCAGCGGAGGCCCCTACACAGACGGCAGCGAGGGAGCCTCGCATTTACCCCCGCAGCGTGCAGGCCTGCAACCGGCTAGTCGGCAGAGGCGAGCGTCGCGGACGAAGAGGCGGCGATCGGCCGCAAAGAGGGACTGAAGAGGAGCAGGCGGACCCAAACAGGACAGGGCGAGGCCACACAGCAGGTGCGCCAACGACGCCTGTGGTGGCTCACTGTCTTCTCGTGTCCAATCGTCCCAGTCTCTCCGTTCTCCATGTCTCCTCCTTGCCTCGCCTCTTTTGCGCCTAAACGAGCCGCCTTGAGGGGTGGGCCGCACCAAAAAATTCTTTACCGCGCGCAGCTCGCCCGGCGATTGGGCGTGTGCGGGAGCGATGAGCGCGACGGACCCATCGACCACGGTCGACCTGCGGCTGATGCAGCAGCAGTCGGGAGCGCAAGGCTACGGCTTTGTGCCACAGCGGCTGTCGCCGCCTGGCTGGCCGAACCCAGGCGGCGAGGCGGGGAGGAGGGTTGCGCAGGCTGAGAGTCGGGCGCCGAGGGGCGCCGTGCGGCACGAGATGCTCGTTCCCACGGGCCGCGCCGGCCGCATCATCGGCCCGGGCGGCGCCATCTACCGCGAGATGGTGGGCATGACCGGCAGCGCCATCGTGCTCTGCGACTACGAGCAGCCGCCGCCCGGCTACTGGTCTCACGACCAGAAGCTGGTTGTGCTGGTCGGACGCGAGGAGCAGGTGGTCCGCGCACGAGACCTCATCAACGAAAAGGTCCACGGGGCCGCGCCAGGCGGCGGCGGCGGGGCCGGCGCGGTCTTCTCGCACGGCGAAACGGCCTCTCCCGAGGTCCGGGCGCAGGAGGTGCAGGGGATCGAGGCGCGCGCCGCCAGGGTGCTGCAGATGCGGCCCGGCTCGACGCGCGAGGACGTGTCGATCGAGGAGGCTCGGCTGGCCGCCATCATCGGCAAGGGAGGCATGGAGTACAAGCGCCTGGTCGCCACCTCGGGGTGCGAGATCATCATCGACAGCAAGGGCTGGCTGCCGTCGACGCCCGTCGGCCGGCGAGCGCTCGACGCAGCCCTGCCCCCCACGACTGCGCGCCGCGGCGTCCCCGCCTCTGAGCCCTGTCGGCTGCGGCGCAGGCGCGTCATCGTCATGATTGGCTTGCCGGAGCAGCTCGACCTCGCCAAGCGCGCAATCAGCTCGCTGGTTGAGGCGGCGGCGCGCCTGTCCGCGCACGAGCAGACTCGCGGCGTGGGCGGCGGCGCCAGCAGGTTCGGGCCGGGCGAGGGCAACTGGGAGTGCCCAAAGTGCCTCAACGACAACTGGCCGCTGCGCCAGTTTTGCAACCGTTGCAAGGCGCCGCGGCCGCAGGGTGAGGCGCAAGCCGGGGGGCAAGGCGCGGCCGCTGGCTGCTGCCGGGGTCGGGAGGAGCCCGGCCGGATCGTGGTGCATCCCACGAATAGGCGGCGCGAGCGGCCTCCACCCCCCGCAAGAGTACAGCGGCTGCGGTGGGCCGCAGTATGGCGGCGCGTCGCACGCTGCTGCCGAGGCGCCCCCGGGGACGAACATCGCGGCGATGGTGGCGGCCATGGCGCCCCAGGCCGTCGGCGCCGCCGGTGGCGGCTACAGCTGCGGCGGGGGCGGCGGCGGCGGCGGCTGCTACGGCGGCGGCTACGGCCTCAGCGGCGTCGGCGGCGTCGGCGTCGGCGTCGGCGGCTATGGCGGCGGCCTCTCCGGCGAGCGGCTCTCCCGCGACCATGGCTACCGACGCGTGGGCGACGTCAGCGCGCCGTGCGACGTCGAGACGGTCAACCAGCTCCTGGCGGACCGGCAGGCCGCCAAGCTGAGCCGCGACTTCAACGCGGCGGACCAGCTGCGCGAGCAGCTGCGGGGGTTGGGCATCAACGTGCACGACAAGGAGAGGACGTGGAGCGTCGGCGGCAGCTTCATGGTCGGCGACTGGAGCCGCTACAGCGCCGTCTCCAAAGCCGGCGGCAGCGTCGACGGCAGCAGCCCTCGCCCCTCTGGCGGCACCAGCGCCATCGCCGCGAGCGGGCCGCTGCCGCCGGGCTGGACGTCGCACGACGACCCCTCTGGGCGGGCCTACTACCACAACGCCGCGACCGGCGAGTCAACCTACTCGCATCCGGGAGAGGCGGCGGCCGCGCCGCGTGCGCCGGCGCCGGCCGCGCCCGCCGCGCCGCTCGCGGGCTTCGACATTGTGGCCGCGGCGAGGGCAGCCAAGGAGAGGCTCGCGCAGCGGGCGGCGGAGGCCGCCGCCGCGTCCGCCTCGCCTGCGGCTGCGGCGGCACCCGCCGCGCAGGCGACGCTCAAACGCGCCCGCGACGAGCAGTAAGTGAAGCGCGGCTCGCCGCAAGCAATCGCGCTGCCCTTTCGTCGTCTCCCATATCTGTAGACAGGAACCTCGAGTCCCACAGTGGCTGGGCGAGTCGTACCGAAAAAGAAAGAAAAGGGACAGGCCGCCAACATCCAGGGATTTTGAGGAGTACCGAGTCCACAGCCGCTCGCTCGCTCTTGCGCGCATCATTTTTTGTGTGCGTTCGCGCTTCACTTGAAGTGAATGGAGCTCCAGTCCTCGTCGTCGTCGTCGTCGCGCTCACGCCGTCGAAGACGAAAGTCTGCGACTCCAGCGCCGCCACCAACGCACAGTGTGGCGTGCCTCCACAGTGCGACTCCCACGACGCCGCTGCAGGCCTCCACCGCGGCGCCGGCGACGCCGTTGGCAGCCACGCCCTTCTTTTCGCCTGCAGCGCCTCAGTCCGAGGACTTCAGGCAGTGGGCGCTGCTCTCGCCCTCACAGGCCCGATCGTTCCTCCGCACACCGCGCGTCACGGCCGCTTCGCCGTCGCCCACGAGTGCTGCCGCGCCGGTGGCGGTGGCGGCGCCGGCAGCACCGAATCCGCTGGCTACGCTGCCGCCGTGGGCGCTGCGGCTGCTGGCGATGCAGCAGCGCGCGCTGCTGGCGCTTAGGCAGTCGCTGCACGCCGCGCGCGCAGACGCTCGCTCGCTCGCCTGCGCGCTCGCCGACGCCGACGAGGAGCTTGCGCTGCGTGCAAGCGGAGGCCGCGCCGCCGCGCCGGCAACCCCGCGCGGCGAGGGGCTGGGCGTCGTGGCGGACCATCGCGGAGCCCAGCCGGCACTGGGCCCATGCTGCGCCGCCGATCCGCTCCACGCGTGGTACGCTCCGCGCAGCGGCTCGGGCGAGCTTTCGGCGCTGCCTCCGGCGCCGGCGGGACGGCTGGCATGGGCCGAGGCGGAGGCGCTCTCGCTGCTGCTGGACATCTACAACTGGCTCCTCGGACAGGGCCCGCCCTTCTCGCGGCGCGCGTTCTGGCTCGAGGCACGCGGCTGCTCCCTCAGCGGCCACTCCCTCGCTCTCCTCCACTGTCCCCGCCGCCCGACCGCAGGGCGTGCCGCGCGCGGGCGCGATGCTGGCGGCCGTCGGAGACCACGACGCGCTGCGCGACATGGCGCGGCTGGTGTGGCGTCAGGGAGCGCAGGGCCTGGCCACGCCTCGCTCCCCCCGCGGGTCGCCGCCGGCAGCCTCGTCGCCGTCCGCAGAGGAGGGCGCAGCGGCGGCGCTGGTGCTGCAGAGCGAGCTGCGGCGGGCGCGGGACGCGATCAACCTGAGGCTGATGCGGACCAACGTGGCGATGGCCCACGCCGAGTCGTCCGCAACTTGGGCCGACGCAGCCGAGGCGATGTTCGGCTGGCTCCAGGCGTGCGCCCCCTCGCCCCGCCCCCGGTTCCCAGTCCTCCCCCCTACCTGCCCCCAGTTCCCACTGCTCATGCCACGCGCCGGCCTCCTACTCACCATTGCGTGTGCCTTGCCCCGCCAGTCGCTCCCCTCGCTCCTGCCACCGATGCCGCTCTCCGCGTGCCTCCGCGGAGGCGGCGGCGTGGTCCGCTTGAGCGCGCCGGCGGGGCAGCGGTTGTACGCCCTCAACGACACGGGGGCAGAGGTGCGCGTCGCCGTCTCGCCGTGCGAGGGCGGCGAAGTGGACGGCGGTCCGCCGGCACGGGCGCCGCCGTCGACGCCGCGGACGTGGGGTGGCGCCTCCGCCGAGCTGTTGGCCACGCCTCCGCCGCACGCGCGGATGACGGCGGCGGCCGCCGCCGCCGCCCGATGGGAGGTTGTCCTTGCGCCCGGCGAGGTGGCGCCCCTGAGCGGCGACGGTCCGCTCTGTGGCGCGCTGCGGCTGCGGCTGCGATTCGGCGACGCTCCCGGGCCGGCGGCGTCCAAGCCGGTGGACTTGGTGGTCGACGCGCAGCGCGTGGACGGCACCTCACAGTACAACGGCGAGTGCGAAGACGACCTGGAGGCGGCGGGGCCTTGCCAGGGACGCGGCCAGCGGCCGCAGGCGGAGGAGGGCGCTCGCGGCGACAACCCGTTTGCTCGGCCAGAGGTGGGACGGTGCTTCGAGGTTGAGGAGGGGGCCGCTGCGACGCCGACGTCCGAGAGCAGCCTCAGTCCGCACGCCGCCGAGCCGCTCCTCCGCCAGGAGGGCCACGGCCTGTCGCACGCCGAGCAGGCGGGCGTGAGGGTGGGCAGCACTTGGGAGAGCCCGTCCACACGGGTGGCGGCGGGCGAGCGCTGCAGCCCAAAGGCCGCCCCGTGGCAGATCGAGCGAGCTGGCACGCTCCTCCGCCGCGCTGAAGAGGCGTGGGCGGCGCAGGCAAAGTCGCTCGCGCAAGAGTCGGAGGCCTCGGACTGCGCCGCGGGCGGCGGTGAGACGCGACTGTCCCCGACCTCTCCGCCGACCGGCGGTGACGGCGTGCCCGTCGCCACGATTCAGCTGCACGGCCCTACCGAGCGCGCGGCTGCTCTCGTCAGCCTTTCTCAGGCGCAGCGCAAGTAGGCGGCGGCAAGACAGCCAGACAGAGTAGCGAAGAGAGAGAGAGCTCCCTCGCCGCCGATATCCCGCGCGCCTCGCCTGGGAGGCGTGCGCACTCGCCTGCTAGGCGCTAACCAAGGCCGCGAACGGCGTGGCGAGCCTCTCCTCCGGGCGCACGAGCCTCGCGCGCCGCGCGACCGCCGCCCTCTCACGGTTGCCGCTCAAGTCAGAGGCCAAGGTGCGCGCCGCGCTTGCCCGGAGCCCCCCTCCGCCGCCGGCAATTCCCGAGCCTAGCGGACGCGCACTGCAGCCTCCCCAGTCGTCGCGCCACGACCCCTCCCCAGGCGCTCGAGTCGCGCCGCGAGCTGCTCGTGGGCCTCTTGCTCCACCCGACCGCCGGTGCCGCCGCAGCTGCCACCGCCGAGGTCCTTGCGCTGCCAGGTTCTACGACCCCAATGGAGGTGCCGCGCAGCTGAGGCGCGGCGCTCTGCACTAGGCGAGCGCTGCCGAGTGGGTCTCTTCGGTCGCGGCGCGCGTCGTAGCGGCTCCGGCGGCGGCACGGCCGCGCGAGCTGCGTGGGCTGCAGGCGCCGCGCGTCAGCATGGTTGTCGAAGCGTTTCGTGCCGCGTCGGCAGCTTCGGGGCCGAAGGAGTCGGCTGAGTGGGATGGCCCGGCCCTTGCCGCCGCCGCCACTCGGCTCGAAGGTGTTTGCTCTGCCCTCAAGAAGTTGGCACGGGCAGAGGCGCCGCCGCGAGCGACGACGCACCCGAGGGTCTCGCCCAGGGGGAGCACTTCGTCCAAGGGGGGTGCCGCGGGCAGCACGGCCCGTTCGCCGCTGCAGCCAATCGACTCAGCGCACAGCGGCGCGAACGCAAAGACAACCGACTCCGCGGAGGGCGCCACGGCGTCGCTTAGGCAGGAGCCTACGGGCGGCGCGCCCACGATGCCCCAGGCGCGAGACGCAGATGCGGCAGCCGCGCAAGATGCGGATCCGGCAGCCGCGCAAGATGCGGATGCGGCAGCCGCGCCGGCTGCACCTCCCAAGCCGGCCGCGGTAGCCGCCGCCGTGCCTCCGGCCGCCACGCCTCCGGACGTGTGCACGCTGGACGCGTCCATCGCGCAGCAGCGGGCGCGTCTTCAAACGGAGAGATGCCGGCCCTCTGCGACGCCACGTCCCAATCTGGTCTCCTTGTGTTACATAGGCGCAGTTGGAGCAGGAGCGGAAGCGGCTGTTCGCGCGCCGCTGCTCACGCGAGGCGGCGCGCTCGGCGGCGCTGGTCGCTACGAGGTCCGACGCCACAGAGATCGGGGCCGCCGCTCCAGCGGGCTTTGCCGAGCAAAACGGCGCCGCCGCCGCCGTGGGGCTTGCCGCAGGTGCTGGGGAAGTTCCGACCGCTCCCGAGTCTGGCTCGCCAGCAGTGGGGCTAGTGGACGCGGGCAGCGAGGATGGCGACGCGCGCTCCCACCCTCCCGCTTCGCCCGCGCCGCCCTCTGTCTCGTCGCGCATGCGTTTGCCGCCCCAGGCCAGCTCTCCCGGCGCCCACCAGCCCCTCGCCCGGAGTCGGCTCTCCCTGCCTCGGCTTGGTCTCGGGATTCGGCGCGCTTCCCTCCCGATGCCAGAGCACCGCGGCGGCGGTGGGCTGTCACAAGAGGCGGTGGCCGAGGCTCTCGGCGTGGACTAGAGCTACGAGGGCCGTCCAGCCAGCCAGCCGCGCGCGGACCCCGAGAGGAGGTGGCGGGAGTGTCCCGCGGGGAGGGCGGGCGAGGGCGGGGACAGCCTCACCCTCTCCGTCTCGTGCGTCGAGGTCGCCACCCGCAGTGTCCTCTTCTGTCTTCACGAGGTGGGTCCGTCCTTCGTCCGTGTCGTCCGTGTCTGGAGAACTTGAACTGTGCCGCCGGTTGCACGCTTTCTCAGCATAAACTAAACATATCATTCCCCACACGACGCGCGCCCGCTGGGAGCCCGGCTCGTTCACTTTTCGCTGGCCGCGCCCTCCTTGGCTAGGGGGTTGGGTAGGGAGGGCAGCGGGATCTCTGGGAGGTCGTGGGGAAAGGGTGGGGAGGGCAGCTTAAGCGTCGCCTTCCCCCCCTTCGCGCGCCCCTCCTTGGCGCCGCCGAGGTTGACGACGTTGGCAAAGGAGGACATCTCGGTCATCGACTTGAGCGCGCCGCCCACATGCGCCCGACGCCCTCCCACGTGCGCGTGCACTTGCCGGCGGCGGCCTCGGCGCGCTCGGCGGGGTCGGAGCACGGGTACAGCTTCGGGAAGAGCGCGTGCCTCAGCGGGTCGCCGTCCTCCATCCCGTGCGACCCCATGTCGGCGAAGAGGAGCCGGCCGCCCGCCAGGTACTGGCAGTCGTCGACAGCGCACGTGCCGCCGAGCACGCGCCGCCTGCTCGACTCCCAGTCCTGCGACTTTGGCCCGTCAATCTTGTGGATCGCGCGCGAGTGCCACACGATCAGGTCGCCCGCCTTTGGCCGGAACTCGAGCAGCTCCGGGTACATGAGCAGGTTGTCCTTCTCCAGGTCGACAAAGACGGCGTCGGTCGTGACGTCCGTGTTGAGGTGGCTCTTCCTCAGGTAGACGGGGGCGCCGTGGTCGGGCGGGCAGTCGTCCAGCGTGACCCACCAGCGCAGCGCGTTCCACTCGTTCGCCCCCGGCTCGCCGAACGCGTCGATCGGCCCGTTCTGGTTGTCCTGGTGCCACTTGAAGCCCTTGTTCGGGTTGACCATCAGGAGGTCGGTCGCGAGGCGCAGCTCCTTGGCGTCGATGCTGCCGGCGAGCGCGGACGCGATGGGGCTGTAGTACAGCAGCTCCGCGAACGCGCTGTTCGACGCCCACACCGACCGCTGGATGTAGTCGTAGAGCCCCGACGCGACGCCCGCGATGGACCAGAAGTGCGGGTTTTCGACCTGCCAGTCGGTCGCGGCCCTGGCGTACTCGATCCACTCGTCGTTGAGCACGCCGGGGATGACGATGGCGCCGTCCTCGTACAGGGCCCGCCGCTGCTCATCGGTCACCTCAAAGGGCTGCGGAGGGTCGCCCTCGCGCACCGAGGCGGGCAGCTTGACGGGCGCACGCTGCAGGCCGTAGTCGAGCTCCCACGGCGCGATCGAGACCTCCCACTTCATACGCGGCGCGGGCGCCCGGCGGGATTGCCTCGAGCTGCTCCCCACCGACAAGGCGAGGGGCTTCGACGCGGCGAACAGGATCGCGATGGACATCTTGGAATGAAATAGGGAAAAAAGAATTTTACGGCCCCCGCACGTACCAAGCGAAGAACCGAGCGGAAGGAAGCCGGGGAAGATGACTCCGAGGAGGACGAACCAGTGGAAATCCAGTCGTCAGATGTTACGATGCACCCGAAGGGGACCCCAGCGTGTGTGTGTGTGTGTGCACCGGGACCCCAGCGCCGGCATCATCCGTAGAGGCACGAGTGTTCGAAGAGAGAGTGGACCTGAGCAACGACATGACTTGGAGGCAAATGATCGGAGTGGGAGTCAGAAATGTGGTCCTTGCGCGAGGGGAGCTCGATAGACTCGAGGGGCCAGGATACGCGGAGAGGAGAGAGATTTTTAGCAATACCAAACAACTCTAACACTCACACGTCATTTGGGGCCTGGAGCCCTGTTCACGCGCGCGCGAGACGTGCAGACAGGGTTGCCAGGTGAGAGCGAATGGCGCGGTTCACGCCTCGCACAACAGAGAGAGAGATGCGCTCTGCATGGTGGGACATAAAAGAAAGCGAGTACTTGGGCGAGTAGGCCGTGCGGTCGACGCTTTGTTTGTTTCGGAGAGGAGAGCGGAGTTACGCCGAAAGGCCAAAGAAGCCGCGAGAACAAGGGACCGGCGCAGGCGGCGGCGTCGCAGGACGAGGCAGAAGAGAACGACGCGACAGAGGAGGAAGTGACAAGGGAGAGAACGACGAGAGTGGGACGACCGCGAGGTGGCATGAAGGTTGCAGCGAGAAGCGGCGAGAGACTGCGAAGGGAGATAGAAAGAGGCAGACGACCAAGGGTTAGGGTGGGCGACGGCTAGCACATCAGTCATCACACACCTCTCCTTAAAATCCCTGTGTGGTGGCGGCGTGCCGTCCTCCCACCCCCCTCCCTTGGGTTGACGCTGGGGCCGACTTGCTACGCGCGCTGCGACCCGGACCGCCACCTCTGCTGCCGCCTGTGCTACCCGTAGTCTTTGCCGGCGAGCGAGTGCCTTTTGCGGGGCTGTCGCCAGAGCGGGTGTCGCCACGGCCGTCTTCTGATCTGTTTTGTGGTCTGGGGCTCTGCGCGCTGCGCTGCGCTGCGCGTCTCGAGGCGCGCCGCAACACAGCCCGTGTAAATGAACCAAGCATCCCCGATGGCCGGCGGGGTGTCCCATGGCCCCGCCCCCGGGGTGGCCGGGGGCACGCAGGGGGCGCCGCTACGGGCCGCTGCGGCGCCCATCCTATTTCGAAGAATGCCATCCTGGAATATAGGGTCTAGGTCTGAGACCGCGAGCGAGTGGCACGAAAGAGTGCAAGCAAGTCGCGCATGCTTTTGCGTAACGGCTTCTAGGACTAGCTCGAATTCTCTTTTCTGGGGGGTGCCCGCGCCGCCTAGCTCTGCAGACGGGCCCCTCCACCCTTCCTGTAATCATGTAGTCCCCACATTCGCAATCGTGGGCAGGGAATTGGTTTTCTTTTTCTCTTCTCTCGGACAGCGCGCTGCCACCTTCGCCCGCAAGCGACCCAGGACTACGCCTGACAGGCGCCAGCCGCCGGGTGGAACCTTTTCAGACACGAACGGCTGTCCCACAGCCGCATACATGTACTACGTCCTCTTCGCCCTCGCCCTCGCCGTCGCCCGCCCTGCGCTGCGCCTCGGCGGCGAGTGGGCCGGCTGGCGCTGCGTTTTCGACCCCTTCTCCGGCGCCCTCACGAATCACGTCGAGGGCGTGACGACTGAGCGGTGGGCCGGCAACGCCCTCCAGCGCCGCTCCCTCAGGCTGCTCCCCGAGGCGACGGCCGGCGACGGCGATGGCGCGCGCATCCGGTGCCTCGCCGCGCCCGAGGAGGACTGGTCGACGCTGCCGGCGGCCAACAGCGGCACGAGCACGCTGGCGCCGGGCGCGCGCGCCGCGGCCCTCGCTGCGGGAGGCCTGATGTGGACTGTGCAGGTCGACATGCTCAACGCAAACGCGTGGGCGCTCGACGAGGTGGGCGCCGACCCGAACGCCGCCGGTGTGCCCAGCTGGCGGTGCGAGAGTGTCTTTGACGGCGTCGGCGGCGAGCGGCCGCGCGGGCCGAGGCGCGATCGAGCGGAGCGGCCCAAGGAGCGCACGCGGGTCGTCTGCAGCTTCAACCCGAGCACGGGCGAGGTCGCGAGGGGCGAGCCGGTCGAGGTGTGGCAGGAGCGCTGCTGGTCCGTGCAGCCCTTGGGCGAGATGCCCGAGCTCCGGCGAGACAGCGGCGGGCGCGCCGGGCTGGACGCGGCGTGGGTCTCGTCGGTCGTGGGCACCGCGTGCTTTGGGTCACAGAAGCGGATCCCGTACGCGTCGGGGGTGGAGGCTGCCTTGAGCAGGACCCGCCTCTCTCTCCCGGGCGGCGTCGAGGTGCGCGGCAGGCCAGGGCTGCTCGAGGTTTGCGTCACCGCCGCGCCGGGGCGGGTCAACTGGCGCAAGCTGATCCTGCGCCGCAGCTGGATCGGCGGCTCCTGCTACGCCTCGGTGGAGACGGTCGGCGACCGGCAGGCCGAGCCGCCAGTCGACGAGGAGGACTCCCAGGGCCCGCACGGCTACGGGCTTGACGGGCGGGTGAGGTGTCGCGCCGAACGGCCCAGACGAGAAGGCGTTTTTTCCCTTAATTTTTTGTGATGAACCTTTATAAAAGGTCGAGGTGAACCCCTCTATGCTGTAGTCTTGGACGTCGGTCGCCCGCGTAAGCCTCTTGCGGGAACTTGCGGTACGTGGCTGGGTTCACAGCGATTGTACTAGTACAACTGTAGGAAAATGTCGGGACCAAATCGCGGCCTTCCGACTCGCGCCTCCGCCTCACTGGCACTATTGTAGCCCTGGCCGGTGCGCGTGCAGAGTTGAAGTTCCGGAGTGAAAATACGAACGCGTTCTCTCACGGTGACCAAAAAATGTCCACCTCAGAGGCACCTCCGGAGGCAGGCCGCCGCACGCCGGCGACACAGCTCCAGCTGTCGAGCTGACCTGCAGCTCCTCTCAGAGCGGGAGCTGTGACGAAAGTTGATTGAGGCGGTTGTCAGGAATCATCATACGGATCACATGGTGGCTCTCTCATGACGGGAGGCCGCCCGACCACTCCTGGGTGGCACTGCCACCGGTGTCGCTCGACGTCCTGTCGACAGCGTGCCGACAGCGACACAGACCATGTGGGACGCGTCGAGTATCGAACTCTACTGCTTACCCAGCCTTCGAGTGTATCCTGGCTGTGGTCCTACACCCACTGGTGTCCATCTCAGAGACCGCAGGAGGTCATGAGGGTCGATGGGAGTGCCAACCCCACAATGCCTAAAAACCCAGCCCAGTATATACTCGTACTGGCTACTGCGTCTATCGTTCTCGGCTCCGGTCCGCGCTACCGCGGTGAGAGAGGAGACTCGCTCGACCTCGTTGCCGCCGATGTGCGCAGTGCGGCCCCGCGCGCGATTCGCGCGCGATGTGGCGCCCGCGATGCCGCTCGCTTGCCGCCGGGCCGCGGTCCCCCCGCAGGCCCGAGGCCGCAGGTGTGTGTACGTGCACACGTTCGGGGAAGAGGGGGGGGGGGGGCGGGGGGCCCGCGCGCCGCGCGGGTGATACGTGTTCGTCCGTGTCCCTATACTGACCAGATCCTCTATACGTACCTTTTGTTGTGCGCCTCTACACCTGTCGGAGCTGTGTAGACTACACCTGTCGGAGCTGTGTAGAGTGTACGCAGTCGTCCGTCATGCGCTCAAGCATCATCGATCATGCGCCTACGGCCTAGCAGCGGCCTCGCCGCCCGCGTCCCCCAAGCCCAACGCGGTCGGCGGAACACAGTCAATTCTTTTCTTCCAAGGAAGCGGCGGCGTGGAGTTCTTTTCTCTGCGTCCGTTGTTTTGGCGGCTCGAGGTATCGGAGCAGCCTTGGGAGCGCCTGCGGCGCGGGCGACGGGCGGGAGGGTGTCGCACACACCAGCGTGTGTTTGTGACATTTCAGTCGTTGCAAAGCCAAAGCAGAGGCGGCGGGTGGTCGGGCGGGGCCCCTCACCTCCCACGCCTCGCCTCCTTGGCAGGCCACCTACACGCAATCGCCACACGCGGCGACACGGGTGAGAGTCGCAGAGACCCTGAGCCGCCACGAGGCGCCAACAAGCAACATGCGCGCGCGAGGCGCCTCGTACGGGCGGCGGCCCGACGCGTCGGTGGCGGCTGTGTCGGCCCCTGCCTGGACGAGCAGAGAGACCACCTGCCGCGCCGACGTGAGAGGGTCCGTGTCAGCCCCGGCTGAGGTCTGGGATCGAGGCGGTCTCCTAGGACCGTACCCCCTCGTGGCCCCAATAGGCAGCCCGGTGCAGTGCCGTTTCCCCCGATGGGCCGGTCGCGTTGAGCTGCTCCGGCGAGAGCGCGCCTGAGGGCAGGCTCGGGGCGGAAACATCGCACAATCTGAGGGATGGGGCAGGGGTGGGACCGTAGCGCTGGAGCGGTTCGCAGGCCCGGCAGAGATGCTGATGAACGCACCGAGCAGAGTCGAGCAAACGTCTGCGTGGCCTGAGCGCGCCGCGGCGTGCAGGGGCGCCCAACCTAGTGGCTTTCAGACAAGCTTTGTTGACAAAATTTTCGGGAACGCGCTGCGAGCACACGGCCCACGCCGTGCGCGTCGCTTGCCATCGCGCTCGCGCCGCGGTGCAGCAGCAGAGACGCCATGGTCGCCTGATGGGGTGCATGGCACGGCGAGGAGCTCACGTAACCGCTCGTGGCGGCCTCAGAGGGGCTACCCCCAGCCGCCTTGCCCTTCAGTGCAGCAAAGTGTAGCGCAGTCATCCCCGACTTGGCGGCCGTGGCGTTGACCTCGGCGCCGGCCTCGTCAATCAGCCACTGCGCCGCCGAAGCGTGCCCCTCGAGAGCGAGAACATGCAGCAGCATTAGCCCTGCCTCGTCCACCTGCGGCGCAGGGGAGAGGTCAGCCACGCGTCGGTGTGGCTCCTGGCACCGACTGCGAGAGCCCACCATGGCAGAGCCAGAGGGCAAGCCGTGCGGCGGCTCCCCGTCGTCTCCCATGAGAATCTCGAGAAGGACCGCTTGGTCGCCCTCTCGCGCCGCCTCCCAAAGGCGCAGCAATAGCTCCGGGTCCGCATCGCGGGTGTCGGCGACGGGCATATGTGTGGTCCCGGCTGTCGCGGCGCGGGAGACTCTCTCGAACTCGATCACACGTAACGGCCAAAGAAGAATTTAAACAACAGCCAAAGAAGAATTACTGCCGCCCTGAGTGGCGATGTCGGGTGAGAGTGTACGTCATGCTCGTGTCTGGTGTTTACTAGCTCCGAGTAGAGGGGGCGTTCCGCTGCTAGGGGACCCAAAGCGCAGAACCAACCCTCGGAGACCTGTGTTTACTTTACGGCCCTTTCTCTGCGAACGCGCACCCCCCAGGGCTAGGGCTCTCTAGTAGAGGGTGCGCAGCGTCCTAATCTAAAATCTGAGGATTCAGGATTCAGGCATCGCTTCAGTGGGGCCAAAGTGAGTTTATGGATGTGTGAGAACGGTACGGGACACGAGGAGTCACGCGGACCGACTCGTCGGTGACTCTGCTGTGCACGCCGTTTCAGAATTTTTCTCAGCGTGAGCGAGACGTGGAAGAGTGCCACCGTCGGGTAGGACGGGTCGGCCCGGAGCATCACCATCAGAGTAGCCGTCGTGGTCGCGGCGAGCAGCGCCGGCCACTCCGGCGCCGCGTCGGCAACATGGGAGCATGTCCACCGCCACTTCGCGGTCGCAGCGCTGTTGTCGCCCGAAACGCCGCATGTACCTCGACGGGCGCATGCAGGCATCACGTTTCCATGCGCCCGTCAAGTCGGAGCCAGTCCGCTGCGGCGACCATACAGCCCTCGCAGGAGGTACATTAGAGCTTGGCTTTCAGAGTCATCTCAAGCTTTTGCGCAAATCCCACAGTGGTGGATTTTGGGGCGCTGCGCACCCCCTATCTCTAGCCCGTAACCCGATCCCGATCATCCGGCCCGCTGGGTGCGCTTCTACCCTTCTCTTAGCTCCCCGGGCCCCGGCCCTCCCCCCTGGATGTTTGAGCGGGTTACTGACTGCAACTCCAAGTGCTCCAAGACCAAGTGCAAAACCCGAATTAGGCTCGGGTCCAAGTACAGATACGTCAAGCAAGTTGTTCGACACAATCGCACAAACGGACAATTACACATCGATCGCGCAGATCAATACAAGCGGTTCAAACAAGTAGCTGCGTCCTGTGTGACACGAGTCTCGAGTGAGGAGTGTGCAAGTAGATTGAGTGTTGCGACGTCGAGAGACAAACGCGCATCAACACGCGTCTGTCCGCACCGCACATGCGAAATGAAGAAGAGCTGTGGGTCGAAGCTGTCGAGACCGGCTCAACCGCGCCATCTCGAGCAAGTGCCAACGGAGAGCTTCACCTGCGGATGGCCGGCCCGGCACAACGGTGGGAGGGTGCGCGCCGCGGGGCGCGCTCCAGGGCCAGGGTCTCGCCTCGTGCGGCGCGGTCGCGTAGTTGATGTGGCCGCCCCACTTGGTCTGCACCCTGTGGCGCGTCAGCGAACGTCGCCTTGCGCGCGGTGACGCTGGCCTGGAAGTACTCCTTCCAGCCGGGTCCTGCATGGGGCGGGCTGCCCCTCAGGTGCCCCCGGGCCTGAAACCC